TCTGACGCTGAATAACATTATGTTCCTGGTTGATTTTTACAGGATATGTATGTTAGGCGAGAAGCTAGTAAGTTATAACAAAGTATTCTATAATGGTACAATTAGATGTGATAAACTTATAGATGGACCCCTACACAATACATACTGTAATCTAGTTAATGGTTCATACCAGTGTGATCCATATTTTAATTCAAATCCAACACAGTTAATAGCTGGTATACCGGGGTTATCAACTAATGTTTTTATAGGTAACTTTAACTTCTATTTCTTCTAGGGGTGGGGTGGGCAGATTGTGCTCACTCTTTCTAGAACACCTGATAATATTTCCCATTTCTTCGGGGAATTTTTCTTTATTTATTCAGTACCTTGTGTATTTAGATCTAAAATTATATCCCTTTTTACATGATATTAGTAAAATGTTTAAGAAAAGGCGATAAAGACAAAAATTATATCAAATTGTAACGGCCTTCAGAATGTGATCAGGTGTAAAAGTGCATACTTCGTTCAAAAGAGACACATGAAGTTCATATATTTTGAATCAATTATTTAAATGGAATTTTATTTTTCATTTAGAGAACCTGTGGCCAAGTTATTCTCCAGTAGGTACCATAGCGGGAACAAAGATACCAGGTGATACTAGCAAGGGGGAGATGATTACAGATATATCTGTCAGTTTTATTATTTTATTGGCTATTTATCTCCCAAGTATAACAGGTAAGTCATCAGTTTTGATTATATTTACCTGGATGGTTTTATTATGTTTATATCTGTTCCTTACTTATTAATTATAGAAGTTTTTGTTTATACATCGTTCAAGATATAGTTTCCCAATGCATACCGCAACCGTATAGATAAAATAACAAATGCAACAGCTATTTGTGTCAACGCCTCAGACCAACAGCTCTGTTTGGTTGGTTGAAGAAATAACACTAGATTTTGATATAAAATTTCATTTATTTGATAAATGACATTGTAATGAATATTGCAAAATTTGCATGATATATAGAGAATCGCCACGAGTCTTTTATGATATCAAGAAATACGTCTAGAAGATTTTTTTTATCACACAACCCTTCTTACACCCACAATTAAATAAATACAATTCTTTGATATAGATTTTATTTGATGGTAAGCGATATCTAATAGGAGATATCGCTCAGTAGAACATGAAAGTTATCACACAAGGGGTATCTACTGTAGAATCAAACTGCACGCAGCGATCGGTCTACGTTATTCTTCGAGATAATGATCACTGCCCTAGTTAGTCTCCATTTAAAACGCCCACGTGATCATTTTGGGGCGGGACTTATCGACTGGACTATTGCTTTGTGTACACAACAGAATAAAAATAACCCGATCAAGCACGTGTTTTATGTAAACACATGTCATAGACAAAATGTCAACTTCTGCCACTCCGGTAAAAGCGATATATGATATGTGCTAGTGGGAAATATTGCAATACATTCTTTGCCATTGTAAACTGTCTTTAGAGTTTCAATCTGTTTAGCTGTCAAAACAAGGTTAGATACTCCTAAATTTGTCTTCGCAAACAAAACCGCCTCTGTGAAATTATCTTTCATGGGCGCCGCCATATTGAATAATTAGAGGACTATTTTGTGATTCGGCTTTGATTAGTTTGACATCTTTCATACTCACAGCGGCTAAATAAACATATTTAATTTCATTCAATATGACAATAGAAGAGAAACAAATACTTCTAAAAATTACTAAAAGCATACTCAGTGTTTTCGACTCAAATCTTCGATGTAGGAATTAAAATGTCGGGTAATTAGCTTAGGGCCTGTTCTCAGGCGGAGCTAGCTGTAGATAGGCAGCCTACGTTTGGGATGCTGTAGAATGTGTTATTGGGTGATAAACAATAATTATGGCATTTTACCTATGTTAATTATCCGATTGTTTCTTCCTTACCCCCACAGCGGTACCACTGAGATAAAAAATCTTGCCTGTATTGTACCAAGGACCCCTTCCTCTTTTTATTGTAATGAGTTAATTAACCGTAGTCTTGTGGTGTAATTGATGGGTCTATTTATTTTTACAACTGTTTGGGAATAGTTGAATAAATTATGGGCATAAATTATGCTTATAGTCAAAACGCCTGGTATTTTTGGGAAGAAAACGATGAATAGGTGTTAAAAGTGTATGTAAGATTGTGTATTGATTATCGATTTGTTATTTAGGTTTTGAACAGGGGTCGAATTATTCAGGCGATTTAGAAGATGCTCAATCATCAATACCAAAAGGAACTTTATGGGCTGTTCTTTCTACATCAGCCATTTGTATCTTTTTCAAATAGAAAATTTCATATATTTACCTAAAATCACCTCACCCTCTTCCATGTACCTTCACACTTTATATACATAAAGGTTATTAGAAATAATTTCAGCACAAATAACAGAAATGAAATGGGATTATCTTCTGGTCCAATCTGACTATATGAAGACACTACGGCATACTTTTATTTAGATTCCCAATAGTATGACTTACGTTTTCGGCCCAAATTAGTCTTCAAGGATTGGCCACATGTCCGTTTCATTACCGTTGAGACGTCCTTATAAATTATAAAAACCATAACAATATATTAGATTTATCAACAGTGTTATTTTTAGGTGGATGTGTAAAAGGAGTCTTTTTACGTGACAAGTAAGTTTATATAAACTAAAGCCCAACCCACAACACGCCGTACGTGCTACTACGGGAAGTTTAATATGGGGGGAAATTTTATTAAACCTGTCCGTGAGACTTATGCGTCACTTGCGTGTGTGTTCGGCATCGTAGAACTGGCCTTAGAGACTTTTGGTCCTACACATACAAAATTTTCACCCTGTTTCTCGCAGTTGATTTGCGAGCTACCAAACTCTACGACCCGTGCGTGTCAAAACACGTGCAGCGGGTTGTGAGCTAGGCTTAAAGAGAAAAGGACTTGTGCCGTCTTCGCACCGGTGTTACAAATATCCTTATAATCTGTGTTGTTGAATATATCTCTGTTTTATATATATTTATTTATGTTATAAAGATATGGTGAAAGTATTGGAGGTGGGTTGTTGGTATCTGAAGTAGCTTGGCCCAATAAATGGGTTATTCTGGTCGGGTCTTTTCAGTCAACGGTTGGCGCTGGGCTGCAAGCTCTTACAGGTCAAGTATTTTCTTTTTTTACTTATTTGTTAGTAATTTTTGAAAATAATTTTCTGAAATAGTCTAAAGGGACAAATGCATAAAACAGTATTCTTTAACGCCCAAATCTACACTATGAAATATTATTAGGCGAACCAAAAAAAGAAATGAATATGAAAACTATCATAACGACGTTCTTATTCCTGGGAGGTTTTGCTGTGGCTAGACGCATTGGTCTATTATGGTTCAAGCGGCGATGTTACTAGCGGTTTTGGAGGCCATAGATACTGGATAGCCGCCATCGCGCTAAAAATGCATTATATAAGAGTTAAATCTGCCTTTTGTGGGTCTTTACTTTGGCTTCAAAAGTTATATAAACTATTATTTAGATATTTATTGACATGCCCATAATCAACTCTCTAGAGTATCGGGTGGCAGAGATTTAAATGGATTAGAACGCACGCGAGATTTAAGAATTTAACGATAAAATGGATAATCGAAATTCAGTACCGTTGTTATGATAATAAGCAATCTACGCTACATATTCAACTTCACTCAGAATAAAGTAATTTAAGTTTTCAATATATTCATTTTATATTATCTATTTTAGAACTATTATAGCAAAAACGCCCTTTTTTTTTATCTAAATCTTACATAATGTATCTGAACTTTAACATTGAAGGATAAAGTAGGAAGCAAATTTACCATCATACGAAACAAATGTAGAGTCAAAAGAAAATAAACAGAAATAGCATTATTTATAAAACATTCTGATAACTGTATCTTCAATAATGTATGATTTTATCATCAACAGGTGCTCCTAGATTACTACAGGCAATCGCCAAAGATAATGTCATACCTTTTCTACAAATCTTCAGAGTTACTTCTAAAAGTGGTGAACCTGTCAGAGCTCTACTGTTCACAATTTTTATAGCAGAGTTAGGAATAGTTATTGCACGATTGGATTATGTGGCACCGATCGTCGGCATGTTTTTTCTCCTCTGTTACGGCTTCATTAACATGGCGTGTGCCGTACAGACATTGTTACGTTCACCACATTGGCGTCCCCGATATCACTTCTACCACTGGACTCTGTCTCTACTGGGTTTAGCTCTATGTTTAAGTTTAATGTTTATATCCAGTTGGTATTATACAACCGTAGCCTTTATTATGACTTGCGCTGTCTATAAGTATATAGAATATAAAGGGTAGGTTTGGGTGTGTTTTTTTATCTCTAACATTATTGTTTTTGCACTGGAATACCATTTTCCAGGGAGTCGCGGTGGCTCAATGATTAGGGTGCTGACTCGCTAACCGACAGATTTCCTAGGGATTTTCCGGCTTGGTTTCCCCTTGTCAGTGGTGCAAGATAGAGGGCTTAGAAATCAGTGTCTAGTCGTTCGGATAAAACAGAAAAAACAAGGTCCCGTATACACATTGATGTGCACGTAAAAGAACCCTTGAGTTAGAATTCGAAGTAAGAGTAATCGGTAGCGCCAATGTCCGAGCAAAATAGCACACTGCAAGATACATGGACTATGCCCGTCTTATTAGCCCCGTCATTGCAGAACATTGAACCTTATTTTAATTCATATTCACAATTCGGCTTCACGCAGATTTTCTCGAGATGGCGATTTTTTCAAATGTGTCTTCTGCAGCCTTGTATTTTGGTATTAAATATTTTGTTATTTGAGTAACAATGATGTAGACATGCAACATTTTAAACGCTTTTTTTACGGTAATCTTCGTTAAAGTTGATCGTTAGTCCGGCCGAAATACGGCCATAATAAAAACCAGTATAAACTATTAACCGTTCAGTTGGTCCCAGACAAGATGTTTATGGGAAAAAGTAAAACGTTTGCTATTTTCTTTTTAGGGCAGAAAAAGAATGGGGTGATGGTATGAGGGGTTTAGCTGTATCGGCTGCCAACTATGCCCTTCTTCGTATCCGTGGAGAAGGAAAGCACACAAAGAACTGGAGGTAACAATCTGATTAATTGCTAGTCCTCATCTACTTTATCACCAACGAATAAGCGTTGGTGTTGCCCAATTCCACGGATAAAAAGTCCATATCGTGTGATAAATTTGGTTTTATTTGAATATCGGAACTATTAAATGAACACCATTGCTGGGAAAAGTGATGCCACGGGACAATTTGTCTCCATAGGTGTGTCTGTCTGTAGACTTCTCGCTCTAATGATCTGATTCAGATCTTCCAGTTTAGGGCCATTTATTAAAACACCTGGATTTAATGTATTTTTAGGCCACAGTTGTTGATTTTAATGAAACCAGATAAGGCCTTGTTTCCATCTCATCCTCAGATGTTGAGTTTTGCTGCTCAACTAAAAGCAGGTGCGTATATATTTACTATAACCCTGGGATAGGGGCTTAGTTCACAGTCGATATAGGTTCTAAATATTGACATTTAAAAACACAAATGAATAACGATGAGAGCACATATCGAAACGTCGTGATATATATGTGTACAAACCGGTGATTGTTTTCAATATAAATTGCGTTGTGATTTTTATTGTGCTCAACCGCTAAATGCCACGCAAGGATTATTGACATTTGTTTAGGTATCATATGATCAACTGAGTTAGTTTCATTCTAATTTCACACACAAAACATATCAACAATATATATGTCGTATTGGTTGATGGGTGGAGCATTTGATAAGCCAAATGGCACAAATAACTAAAAGATTAGAGTGAGACAATAAAATTTTCCTTTTTGTTGTTTTAGGTAAAGGTATAACTTTAGTTAACACTGTTCTAGAAGGAGATTATATTGAAAGGGCAGTTGAAGGTAGAGCGGCAAAGATGGTAAATCACATATATTATTTGTATTCACCAACTACTGTCTGTCATATTTTGTAAGGTGATCAGAAACATGCAATAAAATGACGATTTTTATGTAAAAGTATTGTTTATTTGACTTGGATGTGAAATTTTATTGTTCTCTTTAAATTTTTAGGATCTAAAAGAGCACTGTAATTTTCATTATTTTCAGATATTAAATGATTTTATGGATGGATATGGTGTTCGGGGTTTTACACAAGTTGTTACATCTCCTGACGTCATTCAAGGTTTAACTCATTGGTAAAATATTTTATCTTCTACGTTAACGTGGTCGGTGTAATTTTCATATAATATCATCACCTATGTCCGCCGGTCTGTCAACTATTGGCTCGTTGGATGATGAACCCTATCGATATTCAAAGCTCCGGGACCTTCCATTCCCTACACATACTTCCCTTTCCGAATGCCTTGATAACACGGTAGTGGCTACGGTTTTAGCAGCTTTTTTCGAATTCGGTGTGAAACATTGTGGCAATGAGAGGTCGAAATCTATTCAGCACTGCACGACCTTATGTTATGTTTCCTCCATGGCAATGCAGGGCTATAAGTGGGCAATAGTACATGTAAATGGGTCACTCAAATCTACAATATAAATCTCATCTGAAATATAGTGAAAATGGTAAACATACGCTGCCTCCTGTTCAAAACCTAATACTTCTTATTATATTAAACATTTTATATTTTCTAATTTAAAGCATCCAGACGGCAGGTTTAGGTAAATTACGACATAATACTGTGATGATTGGATGGCCATCACATTGGACTGATGATCCCGACCAAAGTGCAAGATTCCTTAGTAAGTCATTGGGTTATTTTATTTTTTGATTAGAAACGTTTTTATACGCCCACATTTTCATGTGGACGTATATTGTCGTCGCCCCTGTCCGTCCGGACGTCCGTATGCCTGGACGTCCGTCCGTCCACAATTGTTTGTGGACTCTCCACAGGTCACAATTCTTATCCGATTTTGACGAAACTTAAAAATATAGGTTTATCCCCAATATTGGCATGTATCGGATCGAAACTTCGTGGATTATGGCCCCAAATTGTACGAAAAATCACGTTTTTAGCTTGTGGGCACAATAGAGGTCACAATTTTGAACCGATTTTGATGAAACCTAACATGCATGTTTATAACCCAAAGATCTTGGTTTCTTTCGATATTTGCGCATAACGGATCGTAACTTCCTGAATTATGGCCCCTGATTGTCCGAAAAATCACCTTTTTTAGCTTGTGGTCCCTCTTGAGGTCACAATTATTATCCGATTTAAAAAAAACGTTTGATTATATCTCCGTTACACCGTCAGGAAGGTTGAGTTCGAATTTCGTGAAAATCGGACCAAAATTGCCGGACAAAATGGCCGCCGTTTGTACGCGAATAGTGTAAAAATATGGTATATCAAAGTTGTGGACCCTGTAGAGGTCACAATTTTAATTCGATATTGATGAAACTTGAAATGCATGTTTATAACCCAAAGATCTTGGTTCCTTTCGATATTTGCACATATCGAATTGTAACTTCATGAATTATGGCCTTGATTGTAGGAAAAATCACTTTTCTTTTTAGCTTGTTCTCTATCCATCTCTCGAAAATGTGGGCGTATCCTGCCTGGCAGCCGCTGGGTAAAAGACGTAACATCTATGGATGGAAGTAGTCACATTTTTGTACTCTTTATCGTAATTGATGGTTTTTTGGGGTTTTTTTTGTTTTTTTTGTAGGCGTTCTACAGGCTATAGCAACGGCTAATCTTTCTTTGATGGTAGCAAAAGGTGTTGACGGTTTTCCTGAAAGTACTGACAGATTGACTGGCACCATTGACGTTTGGTGGATTGTCCATATCCTTTAATAATACAGTCGACCAGACATATTGGAACTTCAGTTGTTTACAATCAGTTTAAGGCACAGATCTATATTTCGTTTCGTTTTTTTTATACTTTCGATGGCCTCCACTACATGAAGATCTGACCGGTTGTACTTGTAGTGTGAGGTTGCATCTTGATTTTTTGACAACCACAAACGCATTTTCGTGAAGTTATTTTAACGTTCACAATCTTACTTCATAATAGATTTTTTTACAATTTGCTGATTTGTTTGAAAATAATTTTAGATTTATCGGGGACGTCGTTGCTGCTTGTGGGTGTACATGGTACGTGACAAGCCTCGTATATGTTTATCATATGAGAACAAAATGTGACTGATAACAATAAGAGAAACGTCGTGCTATATGTTTGTAAACTAGTGCTTGCTTTCTATGTAAATTGTGTTGTGTTTTTTTTTATTGTGCTCAATCGCTAAATGCCACACAGGGATTAAAATGAAATAGGGTTTGACGTTCTACTTTTCTGCCCCAACCGGGATAATGAAGACGGATCAAGAGATTATCCTTTAAATATTAAACATGTATTATGTTAACCTTAACAACAGAATACATGATGGAGGAATGTTGCTTCTATTAGCTTTCTTACTCCAACAAAATCCAACATGGAAACACTGTACACTTAGAATATTCACCATAGCTCGTATCCTTTTATATCATAAATTGTTTCAAGATCGAAGTCATGATTCACTATACCATTTGAAAAATTAGAAGGTTTTTTAGCATCCTACACCAACCGGGCTAATGAAGACGGACATGCGCCATACATTGTGCCCATACAGCGGCGTTTCGGCCTACTTTTCATTGAATTCCTACCGTCAAATGTTCTTTTACGTGCACGCCAATATATGCACGGGTCCTGACATTTTGAACTTTTATTGTGTCAGACATGTATTAATAATGTCAATAAAATCACAGAAAAAAAACACAAATCAGTGCTGGAAAAAGTCACAGGTCCCAGAAGGGTTGTGGCTGACAAAGACTGAATTTGGGCCTAACAGTATCTGTTGCGGGCACCTTGTTTCCAGGTTTGTCTGAAACAGTTTATTCCTCGACGTTGAAACCCCGTGGTCAGAATCCTGCTCAAAACGCATATTTATATTTGTGTGAGAGTTATTTCAAAAATCATAGAAATTCTATACTATCTAATACCATATGAATTTTTGAGTTCTGCTATAATCACCGACAAAAGCGTGTTTGTGTCAATAGCGTCCAAAGTATTGCAAAAAGTGACCTATATGGAAATATATGTTATAAACACGTACATTCTACATATCATATCATATATCCGAAGTTCAAATGATTTCATAAAATATTTTTGTGGTTTTTCTTGTCGGTTTCACTTACCCATGCAAAACTTCGGACGCTATTGACCCAAAAACGCTCTTGTCGGCCCTCGTAGGTGATTAGTCGGACCGGTATTTTTATACGCCCACATTTTGATGTGGACCTATATTGTCGTCGCCCCTATCCGTCCATTCGTCCGTGTGTCCGTTCACATTTGTTTGTCGACACTCTACGGGTCACAATTTTTATCCGATTTTGACTAAACTTGAAATATAGGTCTATCTCCCAAATATATCGGTTCCTTTCGATATTGGCATGTATCGGACCATAACTTCATGGATTATGACCCCTGTTTGTACGAAAAATCACTCTAGAGGTCACAGTTTTCATCGGATTTTGATGAAAATTGAAATGCATGTTTATAACTATAACCCAAAGATCTTGGTTCCTTTCGATATTCGCGCACATTGCATCGTAACTTCCTGAATTCGTGGCAACCGCTAGTTTTTAACAATATAAGCCTAATTTTGATTTCCTTGAATGTAAGAATAGAGCTTGAAGATAATAGTGTACAATTAAAACGTGATATAGAGAAATATTTATATCATCTAAGAATCAAAGCCAACGTCACAGTCGTAGAATTAGTAAGTATTTACATTAAACATCTATTAGAAATTGGGTGGGTGGGTGCGTTTGTGTTGGGGTGGGTCATACAGTCTGTCATTGAATCAAGTGTTGTGGTTTCGATTCAACACTTGTACATGACGAGTTGGGTCGCCTGCCCAATCTCGGTGGTCTTCCCTGGTTCTTTCACTCGAAATGACCTAGTTTATTTTGCGCGAGGACGTAAAGCCCCCATGGACAACAATTCTAATGGTGTGGTTGGTAGACCTTAGTAGATTCACATATGATCTGCTAGTTTTACGGCCCAGGTCAACTCATAATTGAACATTTACTACACTGAAATGGAATCAAATAGGGTTTATCCGTCTACTGTTCTGCTCCGACTGGGCTAATGAAGACGGGCATATGCCATGCAGTGTGCTATGAGGGAAATTTTACCCGGACAGCGGCTCTACGGCCTACTTTTATTTCGAATTCCAACTGTCAAGAGTTCTTTTACGTGCACGCCAAAGTTTTGACGGAGCCTCGGTTTTTGTTCCATCGGAACGACTAGGTGCCATTCCTTGCACCGCTGACAATTACGAGGAATTTTCTCAGCCAAAACCTGGATCGAACCCTGGACCTCCCGGATAGCGAGTCGGCGTCCTACTCACTGAGTCACCATTTACTACACAACATCATTGAACTTCATTGATTTGTTTAACAATTGGACATATTATGATTTGGTTTTTTTTGTAGGTAGATAGTGATATATCAGCGTATATATATGAACGAACATTACAAATGGAAGAACGATCAAAACTTATACAAAATATGAGATTAAAAAAACATGCTGTAAGTGGACCTTAATCATTTTTATCGGATGAAACATGACCTGCTCCTTATTACAAGTCTGCCCTGTTACACCATATCTACAGGGTTATATTGTCAACTACCCGCCCATCAATTTCCTGCAGAATCTTTGATCGATCGATGGGTTTGTTCCTAAACATAAATATAAGAGATTTTGATACCCTCGAAGTACATTGCGCTAGATTACAGAGATTATGTACATGACACTGTACAGAGCTTAAAGCAATATTCATTTTGGTTACTATTATCTTAAAATAACAATATTGTTGTTATTAATTCGTTTTTTAAAGACACATGCTCAGTTAAAACATACTATATTATGGCCATCTACAAATTTATTGAATCCTACAAACTCCGGCATTTCGCAAATACAAATTTGAAATCTCTGATTCTATTAGTTGGCACCCATATTAACGTTAATTGTTTACAAGGGGTGTCATAGAGAAATAAACAATGGTCATTATTTGAGAATGGGCCAGGATAGAAGCTTTAACTGTGAGAATTTCTAAATTAATATGGATATTTAATAGTATAATTAAGACTGATTAGGCCACACCAATATGAATGTCTGTCTTTCGGGAAAACCTGTTAAAATGTTTCTTCTTATTTCTTTGGGAAAAGGACTAATTTAAAAACCAAAAGTACTTGCTCACGCTGTTAAAAAGCTTTTAGTTCCAAATTTTTAAGTTTTTAAATTTTAAAGAAGCTAAATCTCTAATATTTGGGACCTAGAAATAGACAAAAATGGGTCGCTACGCATATGATAATATAATATGAATGTATATAAACTGATTTACATTCAATCGTTTCTGTTTTTACTGTAATTTCAAGTCAGTTATGTTCGGCGAAATACGCCAGAAGTCTCATGTGAATGGCAATCTTTAGCGTCTGGTTTTTCCCGTCTACACCGATGGTATTTATTGCGCATGCTCTCCAGATAAGAATATAGCTTCACCATTTGACATGACTTGTGGAATATGTCTAGCCCTGTTCTTTGAGTCCCTTGTTTCAAATGGCGTTGAAACGCATTATGGTACACGATTCGTGTACCAATGGTAAAATGTTTATTTTGTCTTGAATATTGGATATCAGAAGCCCATCTTTTCCCTGTAAGATCACGAGACCAATGTAGATTTGAATTGACAAATAATTCGTGTTTTCAATGTCGAAGATTTTTGATGATATTGAGTTAGAGACTTAGCTACTTTAAACTAATCTTTTATTGATAAAGACCTCGAAGTACAGAACATTAATTTGGTTTGGCCTTTATGACCGATTAGTTTTTGTTACAGAGTAAAAACCAGCTACAGGACATAGTTGATAATGCTCACAGTCAGCGAGATTTTATAGAGACATTAGAACCATTAGAAGATGTATTAGAAGAAACCGAACCAGTGCCTGTTATAGGTGTATTATCAGCTGTAGATGTACCATCATCAGAGAGAATACAATATACATACAGTAATATAACACAACTAAGACGGGAAACTTATTATAAACAACCACAACGTAAACCGTTAGTTTGTTTTATTGTCGTCACTCCTCTCCTACCGTCATTCCATTCGACCACAATTGCTTGTTAACGCATTGGAGTCGATATTTTTCATTAGAGTTATTGTCCGTAACTTGTGAAATGTTCAGATAAAGTTAATCATCCATTCAGTGTGATGTTAATCATGTTATCGTCGCGTAAAATCATCCATACAGTGTGATGTAATCGTCGAGTAAAAACACCCATACGGTGTGATTTAAAACATGTTATCGTCGGCTAAAAACGTCTATACCGTGTGATTTTGATCATGTTGTCGTCAAATGTTTGATCTCATCCTCGGTGTCCCCAGTGGTTTCATTCTGTTCTACTCCACTAACCCCTGGGTTAATCTATGGGGGAGACACGTTTTCAAGTTATCCGCCCTTGATGGTTGTGCTATTTTTATCGACCAATCTTATAAATCGTTAATTGCAAAGGAAATTGGCAAAGGGAAGTAACTCTCAACGGACAAGGCTAGGAGTTGGTCTAAATGAGAGAAGTCCAAATTATTCTAAATGCGTATTTAATAACAACAAATTATATAATATTATATAAATGAAGACCGTGCGTTTATGTAGGTTCAAGAAATTTGTTGAGAATCGTTCGTTCGTTCGTGGAATTTTACGTCCACCTGATATCGTAGATAAGTTATTGTGAATCAAATTGCCAAGTATAAGTTCAATAATAATAAACATTATTGGGATCGCCTAGTGGTCTAGAGTGTCACGATTTGACCTCTAACTTGCGGTTGTGGTTTCGATCCCTGATGTGAGCGTATGTGGCTTGGAGATGGGGGCGCCTTCTCAACCTCGTGGGTTTCCACTTGTACTCCCACAACAACAACAACAACAACAACAGAATGAAACATTTCAGACAAAGAACGAATAGTAATAATAGTAACAAAAGTCAAATATATAGATGTTATAGATATTTGAAATCAGCGAAACATACTACAGATTTTGATAATACAATTAAATATAAATGAATTAGAAATATATACATTACTTACATAAATCATTCAGTATCTGGACATGAATATGGTTATCTACCCTTATAAAAAGGCGAAACGACAGGTTTGTAAACTGTTTTTGATTGGTTTGTAGACTATAGCTACAATCAAGGCCAGGGCAGATAATTTGAAATCGTGGAACCCCTATGGATTAACCCAGGGTATAGGGGAGTAGAACGGAATGAGTACTCTGGGGATGGTTTGATCTATACCGGTTACGAATTGTAATTGTTAAATTGTGTTGTTTTTAAAAAAAATGTTCTGTCATTTCAGTGATAAAAAGAATGTACGGAAAATGCACACCGCCATAGAATTAAATAAACACATAGCATCTTTATCTAAGGAGGCTGAAATTGTTATTGTTAATATGCCATCATTTCCTACTACACCGTGTAACAATGAAAATTGTATCCTCTATTAAAATACTTTATATATACATGTATATTATCCTTTAAATGGGTTGAAGACCAACGTCTTATAGCTCCGACAGCTCATTATTCAGCCCGGACAGCGGCGTTTTGACCTACTTTTCGTTGAATTCTAACAGCTAGGGGTTATTTTATGTGGACGCGGATCTTGGATTTTCGTGCCACCCAAACGGCTAGGCGCCCTTCCATGTCTATGCCCTGACGAGGGGAAACAACGCTGGAAAATCTCAGCCAACACCAGGATCGAACCTTACTCACTGAGCCACCGTGACTCCTACAAATTGCAGATATCTGTGTGCATAATGCCATGTTTATAAGTTTTCTTTATTCCACATTTTAGGGGCGGGGAATTGGGGGAGGGGGCGAATTGTATAACGCGTGCGAATTAGATCACAAGGTCTGTCATTGAGTCAAGTGGCATGGTTTCGACTCCCCCAAGGAGTAGGGTCGCCTTCTCGACCTCGTAGGGTTTTCCGGATCCTTCGCTTTCCTCCCACAGCCAAACACCCCTAGGCGCAAGCGAATAATGGAAATAAAATTAAAGTATAGGTTTTTCCAATATGACCTAGTTTGTGTGTCTCTCTCTCTTTTATTCCACATCTTAACATACTGCTTACGCTGGTACCCAACCTCGTAGGGTTTCTACCGGTATTAAAATGTCCTTCCACCTCTATAGATCCCTATGCGAGTGGTAATAATTGAAATATAAAAAATATACGGTATGTTAGTCCGGCAATGACCTGGTTAGTTAATAGTATCTCTATCTCATCATTAATAAACTAATAAAATTGTTGTTTTTACTGTCAGTTTTCAAGTCTATTTTTTCTCCTTGACGAATTTGTGTTAAGATATGACATTTTTAGAAGTATTAACAGAAGGAATAGAAAGAGTTTTAATGGTGCGGGGATCTGGACAAGAAGTCATTACAATTTACTCCTAAACAGCAGCGACTTTCATATGTTCATTTCAGAGAGAATTGTAGGAAAACTATTTCTAGACCTACATTATCACGCCATTTTCTGAAACAAGATCAGAAATATAACATAGTCATTACCATATACTAAACAGAATTTCAAACAGAATTAACACATTTATGTTATTTTGCCAATTTGTCTTTATTTTTTTAATTTATTTTTTGGTTATCTGTACAGGAAGTTATTGTTATATTTATAAAAATAAAATATGTTAACTTATTCTATTGTACATTTCTTGTAAATGATCAGTAAATTATTTATAACGGATAATGCATGTAATCGTTTCTCTGGGCGGTATAAATTCTTATTAAAGGGGCATTGTGGAAGATTAGATACAGTTCTCGCTATAATAGTTAAAAAATAGATAATGAAAAGGAAAACTATTACACATTTCATTCAAATTACTTCACTTTGAGCCGAGTTATCGCCGTTAGAAGAACAGTGGACTTGATTGTCATTGCTACTACCGTTGTGAAGATAATAAACAAAGTCTCGATTATCCATTTTTAAAGTAAATCATTAAAATTGGTCGAATCGTTCTAATCTACTTAAAATCGGAGCCATCCGATAACACCGAGAGTTGATTATGGTCTTAATGTCTAATTTATAGATATACTCAAATTTAGCTTTTGCATTTACAATGCCTGTTTAAGTAGGAATCGCCGTAATGAGCCTATTTATAACACAGAAATGTATTGTTATATTTATGAAAATAAAATGTGTTAACTGACTTTATTGTACATTTCTTTTAAATAATGCACGTAACCGTTTCTCTGGACGTACTAGTTCTAATCTGGTCGTGCATAAGTTATATTGTTATATTTAATGAAAATAAAATATGCTAAATTATCATTAGTGTGATATTTTATATTTTATAAATTATAACAGATAAACGAGTCTCTCTGTGGACAGCAGACACGGCTCTTATCAAGTAGAGCTGATGAACATAAGTTACATGTATATAAAACAGTCATTCATGTTATGGAAATTCTGGCCGCCATTTTGAATTTTCCCCATCTTGGATTTTTAAAACTTTTTGTTTAGATTAAACATACATTATGCAAGAGCTAAATCTGCCTATTGCAGGTCTTTCTTTAGGCCTGAAATGTTTTCTAAATTATTATTTAGACATTAATTAACTGACCCAGGCCATAATCAACTCTAGATGGCATCGGATTTCTCCTATATCAAATAAATTAGAACGTATCAGCCATATTTTGATTTAATCTAAAAATGAAGGAGCGAGACTTAGCTTCGAACAACCAGTACAGTGGTTGGAATTATTGCACGTGTCTTGTCAAACCTTCAAAGGCTAATATCTTTGTTCGCAATAGAGTAATTTGAATGAAATTGTCAAATTATTCATTTTACATTATCTATTTTCGAACTATTGTAGCAAGAATGGCTAGCTCTTTATCTAAATCTTACGTAATGTATCTTTAATTGTGAGCTCATTGGATAGTACATGTCATATCAAACAATGAAATGACTATTATCTGACATATTGGCCATTTTAGGAAATTTTTTCGCCATTTTGAATTTCCGCCATCTTGGATTTGGGACACTCATATTTGAGATTATATTTTATGATCAATGTTTCTGATATATATTCAATCACTTTAGTTGACCAAACAGATAATTTGGCTTATATGGGTTTGAACACGATTTGTTAGTAAACTTACGAACAGACATGAAAAAAAAAATCGAAAATGTTGCTTTTTTCAGATTAATCTTTTATTTTAAAAGATAGTATTGATTAAACAACATATATCATATACCAGCAGATGCAGAATTATATTATGAACATTTTGAGATATATTACATATCCATATAGGTGAAACTGTTGAGGAGTTATGAAGGCTTCCCCGACTCGCACTATTTCAAATAAGAAAAAAAAACGGCGGCCATTTTTAAAGATGGCCGCCAAACTGACATTTGGCACGGTGACCCGGAAGTCCATCAACCAATTTTGGACACTTTAGACCTAAGGCTAACTGAAAATCATAGTTAAACCAATTCATCAAATTGGTAATGAATATCTGCCTGTCACATGGACTATATAGAAAATGTGCTATAAACTTGCAAATGTTGTGCTGTCTTACATTTTTAAAATAATTTGCCAATTGTTTATAAAAGGTGAGTAGATTGCAGCCGTTCACGCGTGCCTTGTTATTTTGGCGTTTATTGTCGTCCCCAGTAGTTCTCAATTATTTAAAAAAAAAATCAATTTGCTCCTTGAATGGAATGTCTGAGAAATAATTTTGCACATGCGTGTGATGCAGGTCCTTAGAGGAGATCGATGTACCGTAAGCGTTAATATTAAAATTTGAAGTTCAAACTAGATTCTAATCCTTAAGTGGCATTTAGCGATTGAGCATATTAGAACACACAACACAATTTATATGGAAAACAATCACTGGTTTATGGACATAGAGCACGACGTTTCGACAAGTATTCTCTTATCTTTTTCATTTGTGCTTGAAAACGATAAGAGAATAATAAGTCGAAACATCGTACTATATGTCTCTAAACCAGTGATTGTTTTCCATATAAATTGTATTGTGTTTTTCAAACTAGTGTAGCACCATGGGCCTTCTGTCAGACGTGGAGAGCGAGTGTTCCAGGCCGGTCGCCACATCTTACATACAACCCATGCATCTTTTCTTACTATATATTTCTGTAGCTTTGTGATCGTCTAGAATTTGCCTCTAGCTGTCTTTACTTCTGCTTCACGTTGTGTATTTACTTCTTACTGTTTTCTTTAGACGTTTGTCTTCTCAGTAGTTATAACAATGCAACTGTTCGTTTTTACATTTTATATAGCATAGCCGAATACATGTATACAAGCATAGTTTATTTTGCGCGAGGACGTAAAGCCCCCATGGACAACAATTCTAATGGTGTGGTTGGTAGACCTTAGTAGATTCACATATGATCTGCTAGTTTTACGGCCCAGGTCAACTCATAATTGAACATTTACTACACTGAAATGGAATCAAATAGGGTTTATCCGTCTACTGTTCTGCTCCGACTGGGCTAATGAAGACGGGCATATGCCATGCAGTGTGCTATGAGGGAAATTTTACCCGGACAGCGGCTCTACGGCCTACTTTTATTTCGAATTCCAACTGTCAAGAGTTCTTTTACGTGCACGCCAAAGTTTTGACGGAGCCTCGGTTTTTGTTCCATCGGAACGACTAGGCTCCATTCCCATTCCTTGCACCGCTGACAATTACGAGGAATTTTCTCAGCCAAAACCTGGATCGAACCCTGGACCTCCTGGATAGCGAGTCAGCGTCCTACTCACTGAGTCACCATTTACTACACAACATCATTGAACTTCATTGATTTGTTTAACAATTGGACATATTATGATTTGTTTTTTTTTTGTAGGTAGATAGTGATATATCAGCGTATATATATGAACGAACATTACAAATGGAAGAACGATCAAAACTTATACAAAATATGAGATTAAAAAAACATGCTGTAAGTGGACCTTAATCATTTTTATCGGATGAAACATTTCCTGCTCCTTATTACAAGTATGTTACACCATATCTACAGGGTTATATTGTCAACTACCCGCCCATCTAGAATCTTTGATCGATCGATGGGTTTGTTCCTAAACATAAATATAAGAGATTTTGATACCCTCGAAGTACATTGCGCTAGATTACAGAGATTATGTACATGACACTGTACAGAGCTTAAAGCAATATTCATTTTGGTTACTATTATCTTAAAATAACAATATTGTTGTTATTAATTCGTTTTTTAAAGACACATGCTCAGTTAAAACATACTATATTATGGCCATCTACAAATTTATTGAATCCTACAAACTCCGGCATTTCGCAAATACAAATTTGAAATCTCTGATTCTATTAGTTGGCACCCATATTAACGTTAATTGTTTACAAGGGGTGTCATAGAGAAATAAACAATGGTCATTATTTGAGAATGGGCCAGGATAGAAGCTTTAACTGTGAGAATTTCTAAATTAATATGGATATTTAATAGTATAATTAAGACTGATTAGGCCACACCAATATGAATGTCTGTCTTTCGGGAAAACCTGTTAAAATGTTTCTTTTTTATTTCTTTGGGAAAAAGACTAATTTAAAAACCAAAAGCACTTGCTCACGCTGTTAAAAAGCTTTTATTTCCAAATTTTTAAGTTTTTAAACTTTAAAGAAGCTAAATCTCTAATATTTGGGACCTAGAAATTGACAAAAATGGGTCGCTACGCATATGATAATATAATATGAATGTATATACACTGATTTACATTCAATCGTTTCTGTTTTTACTGTAATTTCAAATCAGTTATGTTCGGCGAAATACGCCAGAAGTCTCTTGTGAATGGCAATCTTTAGCGTCTGGTTTTTCCCGTCTACACCGATGGTATTTATTGCGCATGCTCTCCAGATAAGAATATAGCTTCACCATTTGACATGACTTGTGGTATGTCTAGCCCTGTTCTTTGAGTCCCTTGTTTCAAATGGCGCTGAAACGCATTATGGTACATGATTCGTGTACCAATGGTAAAATGTTTATTTTGTCTTGAATATTGGATATCAGACGCCCATCTTTTCCCTGTAAGATCACGAGACCAATGTTGATTTGAATTGACAAATAATTCGTGTTTTCAATGTCGAAGATTTTTGATGATATTGAGTTAGAGACTTAGCTACTTTAAACTAATCTTTTATTGATAAAGACCTCGAAGTACAGAACATTAATTTGGTTTGGCCTTTATGACCGATTAGTTTTTGTTACAGAGTAAAAACCAGCTACAGGACATAGTTGATAATGCTCACAGTCAGCGAGATTTTATAGAGACATTAGAACCATTAGAAGATGTATTAGAAGAAACCGAACCAGTGCCTGTTATAGGTGTATTATCAGCTGTAGATGTACCATCATCAGAGAGAATACAATATACATACAGTAATATAACACAACTAAGACGGGAAACTTATTATAAACAACCACAACGTAAACCGTTAGTTTGTTTTATTGTCGTCACTCCTCTCCTACCGTCATTCCATTCGACCACAATTGCTTGTTAACGCATTGGAGTCGATATTTTTCATTAGAGTTATTGTCCGTAACTTGTGAAATGTTCAGATAAAGTTAATCATCCATTCAGTGTGATGTTAATCATGTTATCGTCGCGTAAAATCATCCATACGGTGTGATGTAATCGTCGAGTAAAAACACCCATACGGTGTGATTTAAAACATGTTATCGTCGGCTAAAAACGTCTATACCGTGTGATTTTGATCATGTTGTCGTCAAATGTTTGACCTCATCCTCGGTGTCCCCAGTGGTTTCATTCTGTTCTACTCCACTAACCCCTGGGTTAATCTATGGGGGAGACACGTTTTCAAGTTATCCGCCCTTGATGGTTGTGCTATTTTTATCGACCAATCTTATAAATCGTTAATTGCAAAGGAAATTGGCAAAGGGAAGTAACTCTCAACGGACAAGGCTAGGAGTTGGTCTAAATGAGAGAAGTCCAAATTATTCTAAATGCGTATTTAATAACAACAAATTATATAATATTATATAAATGAAGACCGTGCGTTTATGTAGGTTCAAGAAATTTGTTGAGAATCGTTCGTTCGTTCGTGGAATTTTACGTCCACCTGATATCGTAGACAAGTTATTGTGAATCAAATTGCCAAGTATAAGTTCAATAATAATAAACATTATTGGGATGGCCTAGTGGTCTAGAGTGTCACGATTTGACCTCTAACTTGCGGTTGTGGTTTCGATCCCTGATGTGAGCGTATGTGGCTTGGAGATGAGGGCGCCTTCTCAACCTCGTGGGTTTCCACTTGTACTCCCACGGGAAAGACCCCTGCGCGTGCGCTATGATAATGAAAAAAAAAAGACAACCTGTCTGCGATATCACCTTCGGTGGAAGCGGGCATTAAACACTAAGAACAACAACAACAACAATAGTAACAAAAGTCAAATATATAGATGTTATAGATATTTGAAATCAGCGAAACATACTACAGATTTTGATAATACAATTAAATATAAATGAATTAGAAATATATACATTACTTACATAAATCATTCAGTATCTGGACATGAATATGGTTATCTACCCTTATAAAAAGGCGAAACGACAGGTTTGTAAACTGTTTTTGATTGGTTCGTAGACTATAGCTACAATCAAGGCCAGGGCAGATAATTTGAAATCGTGGAACCCCTATGGATTAACCCAGGGTATAGGGGAGTAGAACGGAATGAGTACTCTGGGGATGGTTTGATCTATACCGGTTACGAATTGTAATTGTTAAATTGTGTTGTTTTTAAAAAAAATGTTCTGTCATTTCAGTGATAAAAAGAATGTACGGAAAATGCACACCGCCATAGAATTAAATAAACACATAGCATCTTTATCTAAGGAGGCTGAAATTGTTATTGTTAATATGCCATCATTTCCTACTACACCGTGTAACAATGAAAATTGTATCCTCTATTAAAATACTTTATATATACATGTATATTATCCTTTAAATGGGTTGAAGACCAACGTCTTATAGCTCCGACAGCTCATTATTCAGCCCGGACAGCGGCGTTTTGACCTACTTTTCGTTGAATTCTAACAGCTAGGGGTTATTTTATGTGTACGCGGATCTTGGATTTTCGTGCCACCCAAACGGCTAGGCGCCCTTCCATGTCTATGCCCTGACGAGGGGAAACAACGCTGGAAAATCTCAGCCAACACCAGGATCGAACCTTACTCACTGAGCCACCGTGACTCCTACAAATTGCAGATATCTGTGTGCATAATGCCATGTTTATAAGTTTTCTTTATTCCACATTTTAGGGGCGGGGGATTGGGGGAGGGGGCGAATTGTATAACGCGTGCAAATTAGATCACAAGGTCTGTCATTGAGTCAAGTGGCATGGTTTCGACTCCCCCAAGGAGTAGGGTCGCCTGCTCGACCTCGTAGGGTTTTCCGGGTCCTTCGCTTTCCTCCCACAGCCAAACACCCCTAGGCGCAAGCGAATAATGGAAATAAAATTAAAGTATAGGTTTTTCCAATATGACCTAGTTTGTGTGTCTCTCTCTCTTTTATTCCACATCTTAACATACTGCTTACGCTGGTACCCAACCTCGTAGGGTTTCTACCGGTATTAAAATGTCCTTCCACCTCTATAGATCCCTATGCGAGTGGTAATAATTGAAATATACAAAATATACAGTATGTTAGTCCCGCAATGACCTGGTTAGTTAATAGTATCTCTATCTCATCATTAATAAACTAATAAAATTGTTGTTTTTACTGTCAATTTTCAAGTCTATTTTTTCTCCTTGACGAATTTGTGTTAAGATATGACATTTTTAGAAGTATTAACAGAGGGAATAGAAAGAGTTTTAATGGTGCGGGGATGTGGACAAGAAGTCATTACAATTTACTCCTAAACAGCAGCGACTTTCATATGTTCATTTCAGAGAGAATTGTAGGAAAACTATTTCTAGACCTACATTATCACGCCATTTTCTGAAACAAGATCAGAAATATAACATAGTCATTACCATATACTAAACAGAATTTCAAACAGAATTAACACATTTATGTTATTTTGCCAATTTGTCTTTATTTTTTAAATTTATTTTTTGGTTATCTGTACAGGAAGTTATTGTTATATTTATAAAAATAAAATATGTTAACTTATTCTATTGTACATTTCTTGTAAATGATCAGTAAATTATTTATAACGGATAATGCATGTAATCGTTTCTCTGGGCGGTATAAATTCTTATTAAAGGGGCATTGTGGAAGATTAGATACAGTTCTCGCTATAATAGTTAAAAAATAGATAATGAAAAGGAAAACTATTACACATTTCATTCAAATTACTTCACTTTGAGCCGAGTTATCGCCGTTAGAAGAACAGTGGACTTGATTGTCATTGCTAATCTCGTTCTGAAGACAATAAACAAAGTCTCGATTATCCATTTTTAAAGTAAATCATTAAAATTGGTCGAATCGTTCTAATCTACTTAAAATCGGAGCCATCCGATAACACCGAGAGTTGATTATGGTCTTAATGTCTAATTTATAGATATACTCAAATTTAGCTTTTGCATTTACAATGCCTGTTTAAGTAGGAATCGCCGTAATGAGCCTATTTATAACACAGAAATGTATTGTTATATTTATGAAAATAAAATGTGTTAACTGACTTTATTGTACATTTCTTTTAAATAATGCACGTAACCGTTTCTCTGGACGTACTAGTTCTAATCTGGTCGTGCATAAGTTATTTGAAAAGAAATATGCTAAATTATCATTAGTGTGATATTTTATATTTTATAAATTATAACAGATAAACGAGTCTCTCTGTGGACAGCAGACACGGGATCTTATCAAGTAGAGCTGATGAACATAAGTTACATGTATTAGTCCATGTGACAGACCTGGGATTTTGGAACATCATTACCAATTTGATGAATAAATTCAACCATGATTTTCAGTTAGCCTGGTGGCTGAAGTGTTGAAATTTGGTTGATGGACTTCCGGGTTACTTTGCTAAATTGCATTTTGGCTGCCATCTTTAAAGATGACCGCCGTTATTTCATTGAAATTGAGCGCATCGGGGAAACCTTCATAACTCCTGAAAAGATCGACCTATAGATATGGAATGTGGCTCACAATGTTCACAAGAAAATGCTACTTCTGGTGCTATATGATACTTGTTGTTGAATGAATCATATATTTTCCAAATCAACAGATTATTCTGGAAAAAGCAACCTTTTGGCATTTTTATTTTCCCAGGTTTTCATGATTTATTTTATAAGTTTACTACCAAATCCTGTTCAGAGTAATTTTAGCCAAATTATGTGTGTGGTCTTCTTAAGTTATTCAATTAGCATAAATAAATACGCCCAGTGGTCCTCCCTATACAGCTGCGGTGGCCGCAAACTCAACAAAAGTCTTAAGTAGACTGTCAAATTTAAAATGTTGAACGTCGGCGAGGCAGGGCACAAACTTAGTGAACTTTTAGCTAGTGTGTCACAATCGAAACGATATTTGGGGACGGGTTGTTTCTGTGTCAAAATATGTCCCTAAAGACAATTTTGAGATTATGTCACTTCTGTGACGTCATTTTCGGTTGGGGTTCTGTCCGATGTCCAAAATGGCCGCCATAATTTAACGAAAAACGAATTTCTAGTTAGGATGGATGAGTATCATGCAAGGTAGGGCTTGTGATATATCATATATAGGGTTTTTGTAGCCACTGAATTTAAAATTGAATTATTTATTGGAATTTTCGATGAAACGGAAAGGTTTGTTCCGTACAGATATTAGCTTAGAAGGGACAAATACAATTTGTAGAACCAGATATTTGATATTAGTGAACCAATTTTTTCCAGGACACCTGTTTCACACAAAATCTTATTTTCTATCCAGACGAACCTTCAGTATAATAATCTATCTGCATACAAAGTTTATGAAAATACACATTCAAGCAGCATTTAATATGGTCTACCACCTGTAGGACACTCCCTTCAACTTAAAAATAAATTGTGTATTGGAATTTTCGATTAAACGTAAACTTTCTGTGAAATGTAAAATACTCGACTAATATACCAGTTGTAACATGTTTAACATCATATCTTTCCAAGCGAATTAACAATAAATTGTTCATTCCATGAAACGGAAACATATTTTTATACTTGTAAAATAAATACCTATTGTTTATATGATACGTTGAAGTCTACCATGTAATACGGAAAATTGCAACACGTTTATAAGCACCATATCTTTCTACATGAACTAACAATAAATTGTCCATTGGATAAAAAGGACACATTTTTTATATATATATTACTGTAAAATAATATATGAATTATCGTTTTAACATCATATCTTTTGCCTCCCTTTTCAGGGATGGACACTCAAAAGGAGTATGGTAGTTTCGGGGGTCCCTAAACTAGTCAATGTTCTCGCGTAGTCATGAATTTATGTCGTTTTTGATGAATTATTAAGATATATGCTTAAGCTAAAAACACCAGGATTTACTCTAGAAAATACCATTTAAATTACAGTCAGTTTTTTCAAAAGAAATTTCGAGCAAAGATAAGCCTGTCCTATACTAGGTATCATATGTGTAATTTTATGTTAACTTCACAATTGTCAGTATAAATATAACTTTTACTTGACAATTATCACAATTTTCATCTGGCCTTAAAACATTTTAATTGGATTTGTGTTCCTGGTGTTGTAAGCTTTCCAAATATGTATAGTTTGTTTAATAAGGAGGACCTTGTAGCCGAACTGTGTTTCTAAGCAAGCTAAAAAATTTGGCTGCAGGCCTACTAGACTATACGACAAAAGTTGCCGGGCATAGAGGCGTTAATGTAAAAACGGACCACATTACCATTTCTGAACGAATAAGAGATCTTAAATTCTTAACAACTGGATATATCATAAATAATTCTCAATACGGCTAAAAATGGTGCAAAGGCATAGTAGATGAAATTAAAATGACTCACTATTTTGGTGAAATGTCTTGTGATCTGTGAGATCCAGAATAATCAATTCCATATGCACCATTTGGGGGGGGGGGGGGGTCGCATAGGATGTGTCATTTTTAGCAGTTTCATTAACATTATTTTCAGCATAAATTTTTGAGTTTTTATTCATGTTCAGTGACTCTGAAAACCTTATAAAAGAGACATTAAAAGCTATATAAAACAGTCATTCATGTTATGGAAATTCTGGCCGCCATTTTGAATTTTCCCCATCTTGGATTTTTAAAACTTTTTGTTTAGATTAAACATACATTATGCAAGAGCTAAATCTGCCTATTGCAGGTCTTTCTTTAGGCCTGAAATGTTTTCTAAATTATTATTTAGACATTAATTAACTGACCCAGGCCATAATCAACTCTCGATGGCATCGGATTTCTCCTATATCAAATAAATTAGAACGTATCAGCCATATTTTGATTTAATCTAAAAATGGAGGAGCGAGACTTAGCTTCGAACAACCAGTACAGTGGTTGGAATTATTGCACGTGTCTTGTCAAACCTTCAAAGGCTAATATCTTTGCTCGCAATAGAGTAATTTGAATGAAATTGTCAAATTATTCATTTTACATTATCTATTTTCGAACTATTGTAGCAAGAATGGCTAGCTCTTTATCTAAATCTTACGTAATGTATCTTTAATTGTAAGCTCATTGGATAGTACATGTCATATCAAACAATGAAATGACTATTATCTGACATATTGGCCATTTTAGGAAATTTTGTCGCCATTTTGAATTTCCGCCATCTTGGATTTGGGACACTCATATTTGAGATTATATTTTATGATCAATGTTTCTGATATATATTCAATCACTTTAGTTGACCAAACAGATAATTTGGCTTATATGGGTTTGAATACGATTTGTTAGTAAACTTACGAACAGACATGAAAAAAAAAATCGAAAATGTTGCTTTTTTCAGATTAATCTTTTATTTTAAAAGATAGTATTGATTAAACAACATATATCATATACCAGCAGATGCAGAATTATATTATGAACATTTTGAGATATATTACATATCCATATAGGTGAAATTGTTGAGGAGTTATGAAGGCTTCCCCGACTCGCTCTATTTCAAATAAGAAAAAAAAAAGGCGGCCATTTTTAAAGATGGCCGCCAAACTGATATTTGGCAAAGTGACCCGGAAGTCCATCAACCAATTTTGGACACTTTAGACCTAAGGCTAACTGAAAATCATAGTTAAACCAATTCATCAAATTGGTAATGAATATCTGCCTGTCACATGGACTATATAGAAAATGTGCTATAAACTTGCAAATGTTGTGCTGTCTTACATTTTTAAAATAATTTGCCAATTGTTTATAAAAGGTGAGTAGATTGCAGCCGTTCACGCGTGCCTTGTTATTTTGGCGTTTATTGTCGTCCCCAGTAGTTCTCAATTATTTAAAAAAAAATCAATTTGCTCCTTGAATGGAATGTCTGAGAAATAATTTTGCACATGCGTGTGATGCAGGTCCTTTGAGGAGATCGATGTACCGTAAGCGTTAATATTAAAATTTGAGTTCAAACTAGATTCTAATCCTTAAGTGGCATTTAGCGATTGAGCATATTAGAACACACAACACAATTTATATGGAAAACAATCACTGGTTTATGGACATAGAGCACGACGTTTCGACAAGTATTCTCTTATCTTTTTCATTTGTGCTTGAAAACGATAAGAGAATAATAAGTCGAAACATCGTCCATAAACCAGTGATTGTTTTCCATATAAATTGTGTTGTGTTTTTCAAACTAGTGTAGCACCATGGGCCTTCTGTCAGACGTGGAGAGCGAGTGTTCCAGGCCGGTCGCCACATCTTACATACGACCCATGCATCTTTTCTTACTATATATTTCTGTAGCCTTGTGATCGTCTAGAATTTGCCTCTAGCTGTCTTTACTTCTGCTTCACGGCTGTCTTGGAACTCAGATGGAACCTTTCTGGAATCTAATGGAAGTCTGACTTACAAGTTTACTATGATTTCCTTTATAGAGCTCATGCATATCACGCACAGCAGAGTGTGTCCATGGCCCTGAACTTGTGTAATTAACAAAATGATTGGTTAAATTAAACCCAATGGCGCAGTAGTACTTTTCCTTGCACATGTGCTCTCTGTGGTATTTTATAGACACATGTTTTGGCTAAATAACACTTTTTTATATAACAATATGTCATTTATACCCTAAGTTGATTTAAGTACACACTATATATAATATATATGTGAATATGTGTGAAACTATTAATTTGCCAAATATATTAATTAATGAAATATAAAGTCATCTTATTTCTCTATTCTTGTCTATAAATTTAAAAACAATGTCGCCACGACTATATTGCTAGCCTACACTAGATTCATCAACGCGAATAATTCGTGATTTAACATTTTAATTAGCGAGATATTGTGTCAATAATTTGCACAAATACATTAATATTCTATTCTTATATCACATTTCTGGCCAATGCGAAATACAGAAATCGCCATAAAAATAGTTTGTTTCCATGGCGATAACAAAATAGTCTGGGAACGTGTTCCGGTGATATAGGGGAGCTAACTCTATTTAAGAACAGGTTCAGAACCGGATGTGGGTTTTATCAGTAAATAAAGTCCGTGTCGTGGAAACTGTCATTTTATCTTCTTTCATCATTATCTACTTTTATAACACGTCAGCGTTAAGTGTTCTACCTTAATAATTACAACGAAAACTCTTGATTTCAGCATTTTATGTTATTGAGGTCATTATCGTGAAAAGTTCTATCAAATTGTGTGGACAAAACTGAAAATCCGGACATCGATTGACGATTTCTTCAGAACGTCAGGAGTCAGTTTCCCAGGTCAAAATCAAAACATTGAAATTCGGTCAAACTGCTGTTCATTTTAATGTCTATTTTGATTAGACTCTTTACGTAAGATAAACAAGTGATCAGATATTAGCAGAAATTGTGTGAACTAATTTTCAAGATGGATTTTACAGGAGATATGCCAATAACATTAATTGTGAAAGCCCCAAACCAGAGAATAGCTGATCAGAATGTGGAATGTACATTAAGTTGGACTATCAGAAAATTAAAAGAACATTTACAACATGTTTATCCTAATAAACCGGTAATATAATTTGATTACTGCTTAAATATGATATTATGTTATATTAAAAATTACATTTTGAGGCTACATCATGACAAATTTGGGCATGTACTAGTACTACATGTAGACATGGTCGACCATACCGAATTGTTAGGCCCCAAATTGGTAGTAAAAACCAGGATAAAACCAGTTGGCAGTTGATCCTAATCTTTGACTAAACTGAGAGTGAGGCACTTGATCATCCATCTTCAAACTGTCAAGGTTTCAAAATAACTCTTTAGAAACACTTATTTATTTGCCTAACTAAGTGACTATAGGCAGACGTTAGGAAGTTATATTGCATCATAGTGTTCATTACAGCTGGGCTACTGAGACCATTGTTCCAATCTTTTTATTGACTGTTCTTGAACTTGACACATCTTTAATGTTTCATAATTATTTTCAAAAACAACAAAATCGATAGGTATAAAATTTATACTGTAATATACCACCCTGACTTTATAAAGAGTTAGTCAAATACGTAAATCTTGTATATCATTCACAACTGTACTAGAAGTATTTACCGGTACATATAAATAACTAAATACTGTATTTCTTCTGATGTATACATGTATTTTAAATGAATTGATAGGTTGAATACATTTTTTATATTGTTCTATTTTCAGAAACATAATCAACAAAAATTGATATATTCTGGTAAATTATTAGAAGATAATTTGACGTTGAAACAAGTTTTAAGACAGGTAAAATATTCATATCAGTTATTAACATGTAACATGTGTGATACATGTAATAATAGCATAAATTGTACAAACATAGATTATAGATAGATTGTAAATGATAGCCTGTAGCCTTAATTGTGTACACATAGATTGATCATGTACATGTAGATTGCACTTGACAAGGGGTGAAGTACCGGTAATCAGGAATAAAGTAAACATACATGTAACTACCAGTACGATTTCAACAAATTGTGGTACCCTACTGACTGTACATATACATGTGCATTGCACATCCTTTTAGAAAATTGAGATTATTAATTTTATTATAGATGATGGTCAACCCCTTCAAACGCTTAGTTAGATAAACTGACATAATATGTCATTGCAATAGGAATGTTAATAAATTTTCCACGGTGGCTCAGTGTGTGAAATAGAGACTGTGGTGTGTACATATATATTTTCTTTTTTTAGATTGATGAAACATCGAACCATACAGTACATTTAGTGTGTTCTTTATCAGCAGATAACATACATGTTGATGATACACAGGTAAAATCTATATTAACAATATACAAATGTATATAAGTTGTTTAATCATGCTAACAGAGATATTACTTTTCATATAAATGTATCAATACAATGTAGATATATGAATAGTATTGATTTTCGTCTACAGTATTTTTAATAATACTAATGAACATTTATAGAGTGCTTAATCCATACAAAATGAATGCCCTAATTGTGATAATAAGTCAATGGCTGCTGTGGATAATACATTATGAACATACATGTATGTGCCTCAAGTGTAGTTTTAAACTGAGTGATAGCTTCAGAATACTTTTATAAGATTTTTGCATGTAAATGATCACAAGAGTTCTGCAGTCTGTATATTAGTTATTATTTTTAAACTATAATAAATCCTAATGGGTCATTTTAACACAATAGAACTTAGAAGTATTTGTTAGCTACATGTACAGCATTACGAAAGATGTGTCTCTAATAGGTTTAATTTTGTTCAGTATTTATAAAGATATGTGGAATTGAAATTTCATCAATCTGTGCAATCGACCCTTCGCCATTTTGTTGTCTGAGAAAATTTATTAGTGATAGGCCTTTTTTAAATTCTACTGAATATAAGCCAGGACATATCTAGCATTGAAAGTTTGATTTTCTTTTCTTAAACATGCATTATGCAAGAGCTAAATCTGCCTATCGCAGGTCTTTCTTTAGGCCTGAAATCTTATCTAAATTATTAATTAGACATTAATTAACTTATCCAGACCAGAATCAACTCTCGATGTCAAGGCTAGCCTTCGATATCGACTGGATTAGAATCCTTTATGCTGCAAACGCTCATTGATAATTAAATCAAAACAATGGATAATCGAGACTATGCTTTTTAACGTACTAACTTTAGTAATGATGAACGAGGCTAGGCGGAAATTTACAAAGCTGATATCTCGGTTCATAGTGGACCAATTTGACTGAAATTTTCAACAAATTACCTTTACATTATCTAGTTTTTAACTATTATAGCGAGAACTGTCAGCTCTTTATCTAATCTCCCATAATGTATCTTTAATTAAATGTGAAATAATCAATCCACGTTTGGTATTTTAGTGACAAATGCAAATGGTGCATCATGACTTTAAGTTCACTTATTTTAGCATATATAATAGTGATTCTTGACATCAGATCATATTTTGGACATAAAGCAGGTAGAATATAGTTGAACTATTCTGAATCACTATTCATTTACATTTGTATACCAAGCCCTGTATTTATGATTATGTTTGATTATTTAATCACCACCGATGTTCAGGTGTAAAGTAAAGAACATCTAATCACTGATTAAAATGTATCTCTAATAAACTTTCAGCAATAGAGTTTTGTAAAAAGAAAAATATACTAGCAAAAAAACATTAAATGAATACATGTAGTTACTCTTTCTAGGTAACAAGTTTCATATGTAATTTGTTGTTGAGTATTGTCGTTACTTTTGTATTTTGATAAATCTATTTTTCAGAATAATGAAAAGTCTTCTCCCACTCCTAGCCAAACATCATTACCAAGTGAAACTAATACTACAAGCGATGGTTTGAGATATAGAGGAGGATCCCTGCCACAATCTGCTTCTACATGGTAGGCTTTTATTTCTTTTATGTATTCAATTGCCTCCCATGTTTCTAAGAAAGCATAGGACTATTAAAATGGGTTCTTCTGTCCATCAATATGTCGGTCCAACCTGAACACAATGACCCTTGATTCAAATTTTCTTTTTAAAATGGTTATGAAAAGGCAACCCTATAAATGATTCTGGTGTGCATGTTTGGTTTCAAGCTGCCCGTGATAAAATATAAAAAATCTGGGAACCATGGTGGCTCAATGAATAAGGCGCTGGCTCGCTAACGGGAGGTCTATCTAGATTTTCTGGTGTGGTTCTCCCTTGTCAGTGGTGCAAGACGCAAGGGACAATGTATAGTCATTCGGATGGGATAAAAAATTGAGGTCTCCTGTACACATTGGTGTGCACATAAAAGAACCCTTCGCAGTTGATTTTCGATATAAAATTACAGTCAAAATATCCCTCATAGTATGGTGTATGCCCTTCTTCATTGGTGCAGTTGGAGCAAAATGGTAGGACGTTAAACCCCATTTAATTTCATAAGAAAATCTATATGAATCAATTTATTATATTTAAACAGGTCTTTCCAGCAAAATAATCCCACACAGCCAAACATATACCCAAACATGTCTCAGATGTACCCTGGAATGCAACAAATGTATGCTCAAATGTATGGCCAGATGCCACCTCAAATGTATGGTCAGATGCCACCACAGATGTATGGTCAGATGCCACCCCAGATGTATGGTCAGATGCCACCACAGATGTATGGTCAGATGCCTGGAGCACCTCAAGGTTACAACCAGGAACAGTATAATTTAATGGCACAGCAGATGTATGCCCAATATATGACACAATATATGCAATTGTAAGTGGAACATCAAAACTTAATTGGTGTACAATCTTGGTTCTTCTCAGTCATCCAAAAAAAAAGACGCCTTGACTTTCTGATTTTGAGGAAGAGTCAGCAGAAACATCACTGTCTAGGCAAAATGACCCTCCTAGCACAATGCATACCTTATGCTTGTCTTCATTAGTCTGGTTGGAGCAGAACACTAGAATGATAAATCCTTTTTTAATTCAATTCAATTTTTCTTCTATTTTGATATAGAATTATAAAAGACATACCGGTACATGTACATGTATGGCATATTCCTATTTACATTCTCCCTTGTCAGTGGTTCAGGATGGAGGGCCTGACAAAGACAGCTGTCTAGTCGTATAGATGGGACGAAAAACCAACCTCCCGTGTATACATTGGCATGCACGTAAAAGATCCCTTTGCAGTTGGAATTCGATATAAGAGTAGGCCATAGTGCCGCTGCCCGGGTAAAATTTCCCTCATAGCACACTGTATGGTGTATGCCCGTCTTCATTAGCCAGGTTGAAGCAGAACAGTAGCATGTTAAACCCCATTCCATTTCCTATTTACATTCTGATATTTTGTCTGTTTTGTCTGTTAGAGAATTATATTGTAAAATTAACTACAAGTAGATTAACTGATGTAAGGATGTTATTTTGGTTGACATTTCTATCTGTTACATAAAAATCATATATATTTTTGCTTCAGTTATAATAATACAACAATAACTCCGCCTCCTTCCCCGGCTACACCTGTCAATAATGATCCAGCAGCCAATATAAACCCTGCTAACAACCAGGCCAATAGACCAGCCAATCAGAACATTCGCATGAATGCACAAGGTGGTATAGTAGAAGATGATGATGAAGAGAATGAGCAACGTGATTGGTTGGATTGTATATATATTTTTTTCCGATTTCTCGTCTTATTAAGTATCGTGTATTTCTACTCCACGTTTACCCGTTCAGCAGCTGTGTTCTTGGTCTTCTTTCTTATCTACTTGTAAGTTTATTAAATTATTTAATACATTCAATACAGTTTGACTTGTCAGCTTGTCTGGAAATAAGGCACCAGTCACAGACATTGTCAGGCATAAATTCACACTTGAGTCAGACACAATCTCTCTGGTGCCTGTCTTTTGTTCAACAGAGATTTGGTATTCAAAAGTATTTATCTTTTAGTGGCATTTAGTAACTGGGTAGAGCAATAAACTATAACACATACTGATGGAAGAACAATTACTAATTTATTTGCCTAAAAACATTGAGAGAACACTCTTCAAAACGTCGCCTAAATAAATCAGTAATTGTTCTTCCATAAGTATGTGTTATAGTCTATTACTAATATTTTTGTTTCCAAGTCTTCTTGTCAGTTCTTCATCAGAGGTTAGAATACTTATTCAAATTTTATTCACTGTAAAATATGAACTACTCTGAAAAAGCAAGAAGTGATAAAAGATAATTTGTAATTTTGTATGTAATGTCATATTATAAGTGGAGATAATTTAAAGCCATTGATCGTCATTTGAGATATTTTGAAATCACTTTCGATATTGTCAAGACTGAAACCTTTAAGACAAAAACTCACCACATTTTTTAATGTTAATGAAAATTTTAATGAAAATCGCAGGTGTGCAAGAAATCACTTTCGATATTGTCAAGACTGAAACCTTTAAGACAAAAACTCACCACATTTTTTAATGTTAATGAAAATTTTAATGAAAATCGCAGGTGTGCAAGAAATGTCTCTGAATTTCACCATAAATTTGATGATTTTATGCCAGTAAATTTTATAGGAAAGCAATGTCATAATCCCTGTATGTACATGTATTTAGTAAATATTGTTATAATACAGGCTACAGAAAGGTTGGTTAATGATAAAAAGAGCTGAAAGACGTAATGCTGATAGAACCCCACCAGTTAATCCTAATCCTGTAGCACCTACTGAAACACAAGATAATACACAGGTAATTCCATTCACTACTCTTCGTGTTGTTCTTGGGAGGGCGATGCCAATTCATGTATAATTGACTTGAATCTGGGCATGTTTGTTCCTTGGACAATTGCGAACCCACTGACAGACATTTTGATATGATGTCACAATTCTAAGATGACCGAGATGACGTCATTCTCAGTTCTAGGGTCTATAGTAGTAGGGTGGTACTTGTTTTTATAGTAGTAACATGATTTCCACCATTGTCTATTGTATTTACCTTCTGTCAAAATTTATGATTTTGTCATTGTCTGGGATGTTATTGACAAAAACCTAAATTAAAACGTTTTTTGATTGTTTATAGATTGAGCACTAAAACCATATCACAACTTTTAGCTCTTAGTCAATAAAAACGATGGTTTCTTAAATTATTTAGTATAATCTTAATTAAAAATGGCTACTGGAGTAGAACGACAATTGTAAAAGTATGATCTCTTATTGATTGACAGTTCAAATGACAAGTGCAGATTTCATTAAAAGAAATTTCTCAATTTTTATTTTTATTTTTTCTATTTACAGGACAATACAGATGGATCTAATGAAGGAGAGGAATCCTCCGAAACAAGATCAGAAGATGAAGTGTCAGCCCCTCCCCCTCCACAACCAGGTGTTCTAGCTACAGCTTGGGTTTTCTTTACCACTTTCTTCTCATCATTAATACCAGAACAACCAGGCGCTGTCAACCAGAACTAGTCCCTCACATCCAGACATATAAGGACTTTATTTACTGTTGCCTTTCATATGCTTTGACCCTTGACCCCACATTATTATAACTTTGTGACGTGTCATCCAGGAAGTGACATATATACATGTAGTGGAATAATAACAAGCCTTTGTAAAATATATATGGGGGATTATATTTTCTTACTATCATGATTTGCGAAACTAAAAACCATTATTTAATCCTCGTGTTCGATCCGCCAGCTGCTGATGATGGAGATTTTATTTAAGTGGAATTCACATTTAATTTTTCGACACCAGAAGAATGGAATCTATCCTCTATTTTATTATGTAGATAAAGTGAAATGTTTTGGAATACTGTTATATTTACGTATAGCGCTTGACAACAATTTTATGGTAGACTTTAAGTGCATGTAAATCAGATATACATGGTATTGTATGATAGTAGTAAGTATTTTTATTTATCATTAGTTTATATTATAAACATACACTATTTAGTTTATATCGTCTTCCACCAGATGAACAGTTCTACAATATAATGTGTTTTAAAATGTTTCTAAGTTTTTTTCATAGTTTGATAAACCCTTTTAATATTGACCACTGTCAGCTTCTTTAAAAAAATTAACAGAAAAGTGATGACTTCATATTTATTGAGTCTTGTGGTTCATTTTTGAAACTGCCCAAAAGTGCTGCTTTGTAGACTGTCTCAAACTTTCCATGTTAAAGAATTAGTGTATGGTCCTTAATGTACAGGTACATCTAGTACACAGTTTTCCACATGGATTGGGCAGATTGAGGTGCTGTATGGAGCCGTAATTTCTGCATGCATGGAATTAATGGTAAAGTTTAGAATGGCTAACAGTCATATTTATTTCATACAGTAGTCTATGTATCTAATGTTATATCAATGATTTACTTTAATTATATGGTGTAATGATCGATACAGTATCTATAACTTTTTCCCCTTGCAAATAATCCGCAAATAATCATATAATAATATAGGCTGAAATAAGTCAAATTACCATATTATAATATAGACTGACATGAGTCAAATTACCATATAATAATATAGACTTACATGAGACAAATAATTATATAATAATACCGGTACATGATCATATAGATAATTTTGACAAATGGAATAAGCTTTATTATACATGTACATGTATGTGAATGATGTGTTTTGTGGTCTCTGTAACATTTTTAAAGCTTAGAATTATTTTAAGGACCGAGGGTGAAAACTTACACATATAATTATTAAAAAGCTAGAATTCATAGATTGAAATAAATTGATGCTGAACTTGGTTATAAATATAAATTCTCGTCATGCTGATTGTCCATGTATATTGACATGACATTAAACACCTGTATCTTTCTATTCTTTTATAATTATGGTTAATTTGCCGATATAAATCTGACTTAGAACCTAATAGTATTATTGTAGATTTATTAGCCTTCCTCTTTAAGATTAGTTCGTCTAAAAAGTGAAATCATTGAATTATTATTGTATGTAATCGTTCTGAGTAGCCATTACATTTTTTAATATTATAAATGTTAAGACTATTCAGAATTGATAATGATGTTTTAACTGTGTTGTAAATATGTATAAAATAATCGACTACATGTATATATTGTAGTTAGTATCCAGTGATTAGAGTAAATCCACTAAATTATATCATATAAATTAGTTCAATTTATTTTTATGGTCCTGTATTTTATTATGTGTAAATGATGCATTAACCTGTTAGTACATGGAAATTGGAAAATAAGAATATGGACTACTCCATTTGCATGAGAAAAAAAAAGAGAAAGGTGAAGTTTTTTTACATTGAGTTTTGGTATTGTTGTACAATTTCGAAACTGCCCTAAATTAGTACTCCCTGGACCTCCTCAGAGTCATAGAACTAGTATACTGTCCTGAAATAATTCAGTCATTTACGTCACTTGAGTGGTTTGAGGCTCTACAGGGAGCACTAGCTTTCAGTCGTTCCGGTTCCATGTGCTATACATGTAGAGTTAATGCAGATTATATTATTCATGTCCTTTGTTACATTGCCCAGAATCAATTCTCGGTTATTGAAGAAATTCTCTTTATTCAGCTCAATTCGTACTTTATGTAAATTGGTGAGAAAAACTGTTTATCAACTGTAAATTGTGAGAAAGAGTTTTTATCAACTGTGCAAACTAAACACATTTGTCAGCTGAAATCTGTGCTTTTAGAAATAAACCCACACAACAGCTGTTCACTTTATAAAGATTTGTATTAAATATTTCAAGTGTTTAGCTGCACGATTGACCCGTTTTCAAAGTTAGAAATAAAGGCTTAATTTATTAATCCGATTATCATCCATTATATTTGATAATTTAATCGACTACATCTTTCGTTGACACCATACAATATATATACATGTGATATGATAATATTAATATCAAATTACATCAACAATATATCAACTACAGGTAGAAGACTCTATTGATTTTCATACATGTGAGTGTAACATCTGTTTATCGGACCTACTTTAACACCAATCTAATATATATTCAGAAAATATGGGCCTGAGATTAAACTGTCAATATCTTATACCCCTAAATTACTTTGGTCATGAATTGACACATTCCCCTTGTCAGTGGTGCAGGATGGAGAGCGAGCCTGGCAAAGACAGTGTCTAGTCATTCTGATGGGACAAAAAAAAACAAGGTTCTGGGTACTCATTTGAGGCACACTGCATGATGTATGACTGTCAGCATACTAGAATGGCAGGTTCAGAAAAGTAGGACATGGAACCCCATTTCATTTCACCCTAGATTTGATCTAGATGCAATATGTGGGAAGAAAATGTTTGGAAAACAAGAAATAGGGAATTTTATTAAAACAAAAAACATTATGATATATTTTTCCTCAAAGAATGATCAGCTGGCATGACATGCAAACATGTTAGGTTTTTTTTGCTAATGGACCAATGTGAATTTTAAACACTTGATTATTATGTATCAAACAATAAATACAAGATGAGCTATGAACAATTAATATTAATCTTGCCCAATAATTTTATTTGTAATTTATTTAGATTTCTAAACCTTTATTTGATTGTTGTGTTTTTTTTATAATTGAGTTATAATCAGTTAGTTTATGGATAGTCCCTGGCCTTTACAGCCAACAAGACAAGAACTTTGTTAATAAATTAGATTTCTTAATCTATTTCTTGATAGAATTGTCGAATCAGTTTATGCTTAATTTATTAAAAGACAAAGTTCTTGTTTTGTTTATATTTTAAGACCTTATGTTTTTTATGAAGAATTTTATCCTTATTAAAGGGGAACATCATATTTTTCTTATAAATGAATTAAACTTAAGGATAACAAAGTTTCAAAACATTAATTATAAAGATCATAATGTGAAAGTTTTGTTATTTTTCAGTCACTATAGTTAAGTATTTTTTTATTGATTAATATTCAGTTATGCATTGGTCTTTTATACCCCTTACACTTAATCTACCCATATAACTACATAATCCCTATCCTTAAACTACACATATAATTACTTATTTAACCATTTACAAATCTTTCATTTAATTTTGTTAGTTTTGTTATCATTACCATTCTCTTGTTTTGTTATCATATGTTATAGAAATCCTTATTATATATACTATACATGTATGTGTATGCTTTGTCTCTCTAGATTGTCTCTCTTTACTATATTCTAGCTACATGTACTATTCTACATGTAGCTACATGTACTATTCTAGCAACATGTACTATTCTAGCAACATGTACTATTCTAGCTACTGTACTTTTCTATTAACATGTACTGTTCTAGCAACATGTACTATTCTAGCTACTGTACTATTCTATTAACATGTACTGTTCTAGCAACATGTACTATTCTAGCTACAGTACTATTCTAGCAACATGTACTATTCTAGCAACACGCACTATTCTAGCTACGGTACTATTCTAGCAACATGTACTATTCTATCTACAGTGTACTATTCTAGTAACCATGTATGGTTTAATGCTCCGCTTAAGATCATAAGGGGATCGGGTGTTCGATCCCTGCATTGGCCGAGAAAGTTCATCCCGATTTTCCGGCGTGGTTTCCCCTTGTCAGTGATGCAGGACGGAGGGCCTGACAAGGACAGCTGTCTGGTCGTTCGGATGGTACAAAAAACCAAGGTCCCATGTACACATTGGCCTGCACGTAAAAGATCCCCTGGCAGTTGGAGTTCGATATAAGAGTAGGCCATAGTGTCGATGCCCGGGCAAAATTTCCCTCATAGCACACTGTATGGCGTATGCCTGTCTTCATAAGCCCAGGTTACGAGCAGAACAGTAGGACGTTAAACCCCATTTCATTTCATTTCATTTCATTTCTTAAGATCATAAGGCCTAAGTAGGGTTGCCTGTCCAATCTCATGGATTTTCTCTGGTTAGCTACCATTGCTTAAGAACCCCACATGCAAGTGACGTATTAAATCAGATTATTAGTCCTGAAATGACCTGGTTTGTGTTGAGTGGATGTTAAACTCTCTCTTTCTTTCTCTTAGTCTCGAAATGACCTAGTTTGTGTCGAGTGGACATAAAACCCCATCTCTCTCTCTGTGGCTAGAATAGATACTATTCAATCACCTAAGTTGTTCAGCTTTCTGTGTATTAATATGTTATTTTTATTTTAGTGTGTTATTGTATTTATATGTAGTTTATATTATATTTGTGTTTAAGCTTCATTTAAATTTTCTCCACCATAAATATACTTGATTGCTAGAATCTTAATTTAAATACACATATTTTAAAAAGTTGAAGTTTATGTGAAATTTTCTTCGTGTAGATCTATAATTTTATTTGTTTGTTTGTATGGTGTACCGGTATTCCTGATCATCAGTGTAATTATTTTGTGCAATAAATAACAAAATAGAGGTATGCATAGCCATATTTACTCATGTAGTATGTAAATAGCTGAAGTATATGTAAATGAAGGGGGGTGGGGTGGCCAAATATTTAATGTGTGTGCGTTGGATCGTAAGGTCTGTCATTGAGTCAAGTGGCGTGGTTGATTCTCTGTTTGTACGTAATAAGGAGTAGGGTCGTCTGTCCAACCTCGTGGGTTTTCTGTGGGTCCTCTGGTTTTCTCCCACTGCTAAAGACCCTTACCCTCAAGCGAATTATTGAAATAAAATTAAACCTTATGTTAGTCTCGAAATGACCTAGTTTGTACCAAGTGGACGTTAAACTCCATTTCTCTCTCGCTCTAAAGTATATGTAAATACAGCATCTCTGTAAAGCTTATGTTACCTACTGTAGAATATCATAATCATATATTTAGTAGCTTCCTTTAATCCACTGATCATTAAAATAATTGTTAATCCCTTGCAATTTACAATATTGTGAAATATGGTTTCAGTTTGGTTCAGTATTTACAAAGATATAATACATTGATAATTTCTCAACATTAGACAGTTGATATATTAAACAAGTCTCTAAATGTTGGTAAAAATTGTAAATGACTAATAGCGTTTATAGTTACCTTTTATATTCTTAGATTGTAGAGTTTGTCATTTGCTCTTAATTCATCAAATTATTATTAATCATCAAAATCTTAGTTAAAGGGAGTATGGCTTTATACTTTGGAACCTTAGGATCCCATATTTTCAGGGAAAGATAACAACATCAATATTGATTGAAATGGACCAATATTGAATTCTAATTCATGTTTTGAATTTCAAACACTATCAAGAGGTTTAGCTCCTTTAAAATTTGTTCTGATTTATTCAAATTAGCAACTATTTCTATGGTTAATTTCTGTTTATATTGTCTTAAATTTCTGTAAGATTTGTTTCGGTGCTATTGTTTGCCCACAGGTTGTTAAGGATATGGTATTTATAATGATAACTTGTAAATTCTGTACATTATTATAACATGTAATATATATACTGGAGATTAGAAATAAAATGGTCTACTGTAAATAATTTGTATTTCTGTTGTAGCATGTTCTAGGGGGTTGGAGACCTGAATGGTCTAAAACATGTGCTTCAGATCATAAGGTCTGTCATCGAGCCAAGTGGTTTGGGTTCGATTCCCAGCTTGGGTCACCTCTCCAGCTTTGTGAGTTTCCCCCCTACTGCTAAATACTTCTACGTACAAACAAATTATTGAAATAAAATTGAACCAGAAAATAGACATGAATTAGGGATTTCTTATAGCAAACCTGGACATGAGGCACGTCATAGAAATGTTCTGCTCTGACTTGGCTAATGAAGATGGGCATATGCCATACGGTGTGCTATGGGAGAAATTTTGCCCGGGCCTACTCTTATATCGAATTCCAAGTGCTAAGTGATCTTTTATGTGTATGCCAATGTGTACACAGGCCCTCCATCCTACACCACTCACAAGGGAAAACAACACTGGAAAAACCTGATGAACTTTTTCGGCCAACACTGGGATTGAATCCGCGACCCCCTGGCTAGCAAGCCAGAATCTTACTCACTTAGCCACCGTGGTTCCCACTTGTCATAGAGTTTCTCAAGTACAAATTATTATTATTACACATATATATATATACAAATATGGACTTAAGGCACCTGTCACAGACTGTCAGACACACATCATCACATAAAATAAATATTGTAATAAAAGCATTGTGTGATCAGTTGTACTTGATAAAGTCTGTGACAGTTGCCTTCTGTCCAGGTTTGCTAATAAGATTTCTTTGATGAAGCCTAGCAAAATATCAAAATTGTCAACCCCTTCAATATTTTTATGAGATGACTGAGACATCTTGGGTTCTTTGTGGTTATAAAGATTAAGATATGTCATGAATTTAACATTGACGTCAAAGTTTTACTAGTCCGAATCCTGCTATAACAAGAGGCGGTAGGTGTGTTGCCTCCCTTGTCAATGTTAGCCAAGGTTATTCATATTCTACGTCATCAGCCCATAGTAAAATATGATTAAAGGGGGATAACTTTTAAAGTTAAAAGACCGGTGGATACAGACCACCATTAACTGTTAATTCTGTTCGCTTTGCACGGCTCCAATTTTTTCCCAATTTTATATTGGGCTGAAGGCGCTTTCCATCACAGATAAGGGCGAACTTCATTCGTACCTCGATGGTGGAATTTAATAGTGGTCTGCCTGCAGATGTCCTTTACTTGATTTCGTCTGATTGTATAATTATCTCGGTAAATGTTGATCGGTGTAAAATAGACAGAATCCCCTGAAGGATTGGCCACGCTAGCCGCTGGTTGATGGAGGGGCAAAACCCAAGGTCCGTCCCCTCGCGAGTGCCGAAGGCGTGAGCCGCAATGAGAAGTTTGGAGGGGGGGGGGGGCTCCCTCAAAAACAAAAAACAAAAAGTGTCAAACGAAAGGAGAGAGTGACTAAAGTGAATAAATATTCTCGTGACAAAGTTTTGAGAAAAAGACTGCCGGAAATGCAGCCTGGCAGTAATTTAGGCACTGATCGTCGAGCTAAACAGGGCTGACCAGTTACCGCCTGTTGACAAATCCCTAGGTTATCCAATCTGATTAAAATCACAGATCCTATTTCGTTTCGTGTTTTATAGTTCAAAATTTCGTTTTTCTTGTCTTTACTACACTATAGGATCTGTGAGAGTTGTTATATTACCGGCGTTTTGGTTAAGTGAGGGATTAGCCACCGAAACGGTCTGTTACAGCGACTTCTTGGCCTGCCATGCACGGAACTGTGGGTAAACCACTAGAAACGTCAACGCTTATTGATTAATCAATGTTTGACGTCATAGTGTCAAATGCCTCCCATTACAACTTGTCAGATCTTCATGTAGGGTAGGCCATCGAAAGTATAAAAAAAACAAAACGAAATATAGATCTGTATTTTAATCAGATTGTAGCTTATCCGGCCAGAGAGGGAGGAGTCAAACGAACGGAGTGAGTGAATAAAAGTGAATGAATATTCTCGCCGCCGTGATTTTCTTTAGTACGTGTTTGATCTCTGGCATTGGGTAAAGTTTTAACAATCCGCCACAATAGACTCTATTTTAAAGAACGAAAGAAGAGCATGGATACTCTGTCAATGAAAAATTCTGAATTGATTAACAACTACAAATATTTATAACCATACTTATAAAGATTAACTGATATATGCACCAGTTTTATAAATGTGTATTTTACATACCATATGATTTCAATAGGCAATATTTCTATTTTGATATTTTGTACAAACATAAAAACCTGTTTATATTATGGTAAATATTTAAATTTTAATTAAAGCTTCAGTTGTTTTGTGGTAAAATATGGAAGTTCCTCTTTATCAGATCTACGTATTCAATTTGAGTTATCTTTCCATGCCAAATTTTCTGTTTAAAAATCATCATTTTGGGGAATGACAGTTTTCGCTGTCGAAGTTCTAGCTATTTGTCCAGGTTCATCCACACCCAGAAACATTCCTTGGTCTCCAGCTTTTCCGGAACTCTGATTATTTATATCAATTTTTTCTGCAGTAGGTACTTTCACGGTTATCTCCCCCACTATTTTGTCCGCCGTTTGTAAGCATACCTTTTTAAACCAATTATCATGCTCTATGTTATGGACAGGAACCCTGTCTTGGCCTTTTATTAACATTTTCAGAATGAGAATTCGACATTCTTCAGAAACATCCGACTTGGCGGGAAAGACAACACGCGCTTGCGTTTGCTTCAGTAATCTTTTGTGATCTGAATCATCGAATGGCAGACGACCATAAACCTGGAAGTATACATAATTATGCGCGATAAAGGGATTTTATAAATATTAGATAATAGTTTTTATAGGAATTTTTTCGAATAAAAATTATGTTGATGTCGATACTGAAAGCAACAGAAAAATTCTGTGATTGATTGTCATAACCTAAACACTGAGAGGAAAAATATTAACTATAGACGAAGTCCTCAAACCAATCAGATTTAGCTCACCATATCCCGTATACGGAACCCATCAATAATATTATAATTAAAGATACATTATGGGAGATTAGATAAAGAGCTGGCGGTTCTCACTATAATAGTTAAAAACTAGATAATGTAAAGGGAGAATTTAGCGATTGAATTTTGGGCCTAGCCTCGGTCATCATAACTGAAGTCGATACGATAAAAAACATAGTCTCAATTACCCATTTTTTAAAATTTAATCATGATTAAGCGTTGAGCAGCAGATCGGACTATAATCCAGTAAATATAGCAAGCTAGCGATGACGTCGAGAGTTGATTACGGTCTGGATAAGTTAATTAATGTCTAATTAATAATTTAGATAACATTTCAGGCCTAAAGAAAGAATTGCAATTGGCAGATTTAGCACTTGCATAATGTATGTTTAATGAGCTTGTTATGGACGACAAAATGGTATCCAATCCCCTGACTACCCATCTTCAATAGAAGGCTTGATCTCGCTGTTACTACGTACATCTTGGCATGGCCTTCACGTAATACCCTACATATATTTCAGCACTAATTTCTATTGGGTACAAACCCAACTTGTGAGCCTATCAGATTCCTCGATCGTCGCGAATACCAAGTCTCGGTGTTTCAAGCTAAAATGTCTACTTGTGATAATCGAGTTGCAAAGTTCAAGGTTCATTCAATGTCAAGGTTTCCGTGGAGATCGCGATGTCACAACTTCTGATTGGACGCTACTGCTCACGTGTCTGTAGATAACATAGCTATAAGTTCGGGAATTGTGAAGTAAACAAGCAATGGCTTGTGAAACTCGCAGTCGTTGTTTCAGGAACATGCTGACTATCAGCAAAGTCACCAGTCCTGCTCTGCTGCCAAAATAGATTTACAAACGAATAATTCGTTACTTACCATCGTAAATAAAACAACTCCCATGCTCCAAACCTCAGCTAGAAATGGATTATATGGAATACCTTTTAATATTTCTGGTGGGGCGTAGGCGTAGCTACCACAGTAAGTTTCGCTATATATAATCTCGCCCAATTTCCCGCGTAAATTTCTTCTAGAGAAACCAAAATCTGTAATTCTGAGAGTGTTGGTGGTGTCTATTAAAAGATTCTCACATTTTAAATCTCGATGTACGATTCCGCGCCCATGCATATAAAGAATTCCGTCATGTAAACTCTTGAACCACAATCCCGCTTGATTTTCGGGAATCTGCTTCTGAGTTCGGATAGCTTCTAAAAGATCTCCATTGTCGGCAATTTCCATTACCAAGAAAAATCTACTGGTTGTTTCAATAACTTGGTAGAATGTCACCAAAGCCGGATGACGGAGAATTCTCACAATTTCTATTTCTCGCGGTAAGAATTTTGTTAAATAATCTTCGGGTGCCTTTTTTTTAGAAATAACTTTGACGGCTACTTTATGTTTTCGGTTTACATCGTAAGCTGCCTTTACTGTAGCGTAAGATCCTTGTCCAAGTGTTTTACCCACAACGAAACCCTGTGATTCTAGAATTTGGTATCGCTTGTTGCCACGATAAATAAAAGATGAAGAAGCACCTTCAAGTCGACCTCCAGATGGCGTCGGTTTGACATCCGGTGTCTTCACTTCCGGAATTGTTGCAATCTGGATAGCAGGTAGTCTAACGCCCTGCGTTTCCGGCGTTTCATCTCCATGCGACATATCGCTGCCATATTACATGCCGTTACGGCACGATGGGGTTCTTAATTTTTGACGTCAGAATGCTTTTACGTGTAGCAAACAAACACGTGACGTCAACTGATTGTTCAGAAATGAAATGGAATTTTAGAAACTTTTTCTAAAGAATAAAATGTTAGGTCATTTTTGAAACATGTATTCTGTCGTTTCCGCGATTTTTTGGTGCTGCGTAGGTCGGACGTCATGTGTTAAGGGATATTAGCCCTAGGCGAGAGTAAATTCTACCACGCGCTATATATGAAGGCGTTATTCAAATAGCCCCCACCCTGTCATATTCCCGAAGCAATGGCCCGAGAAATCCCTCTCTGGCCATTGCTGTATTGACTTCTGATACTTGAGTTTTTGAGATAGTGTGTCTATTCTTCCCGTTCAATCAAATCTATCCCAAGTACAGCAACATGACACCCCTTCGTTTAATCTGGGGTCTTCCCTAAAACTTTGGACAGTGATTTAAGGTATTAAAAACGGCGAAAGAATTGTTCGTCTCCATACAGTATTGTGTACATTGTATCCGTGTTGATAGCCTCATTTGTCACACAATTAATTTGTCTGCAATATTGTGCTTGGTACTTGTTAATTGGGCATAATAAATTTGGAGCTCTGTTTAAAGCGTAATGATATTGTTCCGCAGTTAGCTATTGGTTGTTAATCGGACTATTGACCAGTCATAATTTCGGTGGTGATTCGGTGAGTAAGACGCTTACTGACTAACCATGCGGTCTCGGGTCCTCGGCCAGCGGGGCCTGGCAAGGACAGTGTCTAGTCGTTCGTACACATTAACATGCACCATCTTCATAAGCCAGAACTCAGGAAGGCATCTCAAAGACTTGCAATCGAAAAGTGTTTACCAGGTTCCATTGAACAATTTCAGCAGCATGTATACGTCCATATTGGGGTAAAAGAAAAACTACTATAATATATAATTGATGTTTATTTCACACCAAGGAATTCAAAAGCTACACATTCATACATGACAAAAACCGTCAAAAAAAGAAGATAAAACAATCAAAATAATTAGCACCATAGCCTACACATCAAGTAGTAAAATTAATACTGTGGCAGCGCCAAGACTTGTAAGTATATTGTGGGGTGGGGTGGGGGTGGGGTGGGGGGTGTAAATCACAATCACACCTTAGCATCGATTAATTGATGGTGTTGGGGGCGATAAAAAAGAAAATGGGGAATCTGGCTTAAATTGTTTGGATGGCTAGCTTCGAATGAAAAGACATTTTTGTTTACGCCTTTGCAAACCAGCAATTTTTTTGTCCTACGGATAGGGAGGGCACGCGTTCTCCGCCCCCCCCCCCCCACTTTCCTCTTGTACCACCACTGTTAATACCGTACACGCTTTAATCAGTAAAATATACAGACAGGCCCGTAGCCGGGGGGGGTGGGGGAGAGAGGCTGAAAAAATGTTTTGCCACCCTGACAAAAAGTTGCCGACCATAGCTCTAAAAATCCTACTGTAGACTGTGCGCCCCCCCCCCCCCACTAAAACCTTCACTGGCCCTACGGGCCTGTATACAGATGCTATATATATACACATACAGATATACACATTCGCTTACATTCACATTAAATCACGTTTACTGATAATTACACAGTAATATCATAATATTATAAATTACATCAAAACATTGCTCATCGTATAGACTAATGGATTGCACTGGGAAGTGGCATTAGTTTCGGAAACATCTAATTTAACTTATTAACGACTATTACACACACTTGATAAAAACTACATTAAAGGTCTACACACACTAAGAATTTTAGACGATGTTTCATCACTGACGAATTATCAATGGTCGTCGGTTGTGCGCTCCTAGCATACAATCTATTACTATCAAATAATGCACGCTTTTGTAACTAGGATTGTTTGGGTAAGCCTTTGATTACGGACACTACGTTTAGTTTTGTCCAAACCAAAACTTCCATAAACATCGACATACTATCGTCGTTTCTTCAGTGACAAGAAACCTGCGTCGAGAAATAGGTGACAGAGACAATCGGTGGCCATGTTGTACGATTTGTGGTTTGCTCAAACAGACTGTCGTCAACAAATAATTCTTGGTGTGTGTAGGCCTGTGCCTACTCTAGCGTACTACAGATGGGCCTTTATACTGACTAGGACAATACAGTAAACGACAACTTGCTACAGATTCATGTGGGTATCACGTATGTACCACTCACTATACGATGCCATTTTTAGTTTACTGGATCGTCGTCCAGGATAAGATAACTCTCATATTTAGGCTTGTTTTTCGTAGCCTTCATTATATGATTTAGTTATATAATTGTGGTTTACATAAATACCAATACGAATCTGGTGTCTTGTGGGTACATGTGTGTGCTATATTTTGGTCAACCCAAAACGAACGATGTGTTCCACATATTTGGCCAATCTGATTTATCGTCAGAATTTCTTTTTTTTTTTTAGATTTTAATCAAACACCCAAAACCGGAAAAAAGGCACCCGTCATAGACATCGTCAGACACAAATTACCATACAACATATTATAATAAAATTATGTTATAATAATATACCTTGTGTGATAACTTGTGCCTGAAAATGTCTATGACAGGACCTGGTGCCTTATGTCCAGGCTTGCAAATACCATACCAAATTCCACTGGGACTTATATCTTATATGGTTAAACTGCTTGCAAAGTCATCTAAGGCCACGAAATTCTTGAGAAAAGTGGGAATAGGTAAAAAGTTAATACTGTTTATTATTGAGGTATCACCGGTTCCAATATTCAAGCCTACTCGAACTGCATGCCGAGACAGTTCCAATAGACTGAACGGATTTTGGGATCGGTGGCGTAACCACGGAATTAACTCATTTCGCCCTCTTCCAGTATCTATATCCGGTGCCGCTAGACGTAGGAACGACCTGGAAAAGGCGGGAATTCGTCGCGAACATTGGTCGACCTCTTCTGGCCACACCTGGTACCCGCTCATTACTAAAAGTTTGGTGACAAACGGTTCACAACGAGTAAACGCCTCAACTAAAATACTTTTACTAAACTTTCCTTTCCGTTCTACCACACTTCCGTGAAATAATAACAAAGCTGCGATACAACTGTTGTCCATGTTGATACAAGCTGAAAATGGCGTGGTTTGTTTGTCACCTTGGCTAAGTTGGCACCCAGAATCTATAAACATTTTAAGTATGGTATCTAGACATTGATATGTGTTTCTCGGTGCTATTTTGTAATAAAATATTGCACATAAAAATGGGGACATATTGTTTTTCGTTACAGTGTTGACTTGAGCACCGCGTTGTAACAACGTTCGAATGATGTTTTCATTTCCTACTCTTGCTGCCTCGTGTAATGACGTCCAGTTCGAATCATTATGAACGTTGATGTCACATCCGGCGTCAATGAGAAGCAACGTAAGAGATTCTAGATTTAAATGAACGGCTCTATGTAAGGCAGTGTTACCGTTGACGTCACAGGTGTTCACATCGATTCCTAACTTCAGCAAACAAATGGCTACGTCTTCCCGTCTACAATTGCACGCGATCAATAATGGCGTTTGACCTTTATGATCCTGTTTGTTGATTTCCCATCCGGAATCGACCAAAAGACAGACGGTGGACAGGTATCCGTATTCTGCTGCCCAATGCAACGCCGTTCTACCCTGACCATCGCACGTGTTTGACCGACACCCGTTAGAGATTAATGTTCGGATTTTATCCTCTTTGCCAAATTTCGCAGCTTCAAAGAGAAGGTACTCTTCATCTAAAAAGGTCGGCATCGTGTACACAATTTGGATGTTTAGCAACACAAACGTCGGAATATTCAGAACAGATTCTGTGTATATCTACACAAGGAACACAAGCGTAAGAACACAGTATGGAATCAAGGGCAAGATCATTTGGCACAACCACAGAAGAAAATCTTCACGTCATCGTTAAAATCCTTGACTTTATTCAATCAACAAAATTCCAAATAGTTGCGAATAGTTCAACGCTTATCAATCGCCAGCTCCTTTGATGCTAATCGTCGGACATCGACATGTAGACCTCAGTTTAAAACAGGGTCAAAGTTTATTAAATAAGTGAGATAATAGCCTGACCATCAAAGATTAAGTAACTATGGTACACCATGTCAATAAGATCAGGAAGTGCGCGTTAAAATGTTGATGGTGACTTAACGTGGTGATTTCACAAGTTCATAAACCATTACAAGCCAGCGTGTGTCTGGACAATAGCTGCTACCTTGGTCCTCTCTTTTGATTTGGTCCCAAAATCTAAAATATAGACATTAAAAAGCCGTAAGAACTTTCAACAAGAAAATAAATGTGATTAATTTCATGTTCAAAATAACCCAGACTCCGTTAATCTATTAGATGAAATAATTATCCAACGGTATAACTATAGACCATCTAACAACCCTTTAAGATGTGTTACATTTCCACATTTGAAATGGGGAGTAACATAAAGAGCACTATGGCAATTACCATTGCCGGTGGCGTAGGACAAGGGGTCTGGCAAGGAACATGCATCTAGTCGTTCGGATGAGACGAAAAACCGGGGTACACCATTTAAACTCGATGACGGGCACGTAAAAGAACCCTTGGCAATAACAGTTGGAATTAATGGATATTGGTCCGTGTCCACATTTTCTGCACTATGGCAATAATCAGAAGCATCACAGAGAGTGAAAGGGTGAGGTAGCGTTCCTGAGAGAATAGGATGATAACGGTTGGTCTTGGGTTTGAGTTTTGACTGAACCCCTCAAGCCTTAGTTTCGAACCGATCTAGATATTAAATACTAAAAACCGTATTTTTCCTACCTTTTAGTTTTCCAATGAACGTCAAAATATCAGGGTCTTTGTTCAATCGCCTCGTGTTCATTCGACTAATACTGTTATAACTTCACGTGCTTTAACAGACGTCCACTTTTACACCGTGGCGCCATTACTGACCACAGACGTCCCATAATCACACAATGATGTAATGGTCCCCTGCTACCAACATAGGTCAAGGGTCGCCATCTTTTGTCCGTCGGGTCAGTTTCGTCAGAATATTTGATCTTAGCGTCCAATCAAGTTGGATGATCTAACGGTCTTTTATTTGAACTGTTTATTTCTCTGGTCTTCAGGAAGTTCAGCCAAGTTTATCTTGTTAATTAATGGCGGACGGACGCTGTACAAAAACTGTTCACAAACAAAGTCTAATACCAACAAACTGAAATATATATTTAACATAATGATTATTTGACGTTGTACAAATATTTATCCGTGTTGATCAAACTCGACACAATTCTGGAATATATATTTATAATATAATAAGATAATACTGTAATTCATTTTGTGAGCGCTTCATGAAATTCAAATATAAAATTGGTTTAAAGGGACTATCCCGATATGAATAGAGTCTCAAAAATAAAAGTCTGAATTCGTATGAAATTTAAGCGTCAAAATACAGAGGAATGGTGTATTTACCCTTATCTCAAAATTTCAGCTCAAAATATTGAGTTGTTTGGACGTGACCGTCAAAAATGCTTATCCGAACACGTAACCCTTTTAAGATTTTTGGTCAATTTTTTCGTTGGATGACCTGGTAATCTATCGCCGTTCCTTTAGAGGTTTATACAGTGAATGACCCATGTGCCGTACTGGATAACGAAAGGTAAATTTCACCTACACATTGTTTTTATAAAATAAAAGTCTGGTTTTATCTAGACACCGCATAATACAGCTTGGGGCACCAGTCTCCATTTCCAGACGAAGACTGACGGGTGTAAGTTGTTTGAAAACATATCACAAATATTGAATTAGTTGCTCGGCCCTTAGGTACGGGATTATTAAGGAGTTTTAACACAAAATTAAGCAGTTTTATTCCCCAGAATATTATCGGGATAGGTCCTTTAAGTTAGCAACATTATAACGTTGTGTCGTGCAGACAGAATATACTTGATTTGCCATTACTTTTGTATATCAATGCTGTTGGTTAACGTGTGAAACAAAATTTGTTGTAGTTTGTTGTTAACATTTATTGATTGTAGAATTGACAAAAACCTAAAACCAAACAAAAAAAAAAACAAAAACAAACAACGCATAATGTGAAATGAAATTAAATGTAATGGGCTTTAACGTCCTACTGTTCTGCTCCGAACTGGGCTAATGAAGACGGGCATATGCCATACAGTGTGCTATGAGGGAAATTTTGCCCGGACAGCGGCACTACGGCCTACTCTTATATCGAATTCCAACTGTCAAGGGATCTGTTACGTGCACGGCAATGTGTACACGGGACCTCGGTTTTTCGTCACACCCGAACGACTAGACAGCTGTCCTTGTCAAGCCCCCCGTCCTGCATCACTGACAAGGGGGAAATCTGGATGAACTTTCTCGGCCAATGCAGGGATCGAACACCCGACCTCCAGACTAGCGACACAGAGTCTTACCCACTTAGCCACGTGATCCCCCAACGCATAATGTACCTGTATTAAAGATACATTATGGGAGATTCGATAACGAGTTGGCAGTTCTCACTAGATAATGTAAAGGCAATTTGCTGAAAATTTGATTCCCACTGATCCACTATGAACCGATAACTAAGCGATTGAAATTTCCGCCTAGCCTCGATCAGCATTACTAAAGTCAGTACGATAAACAGCATAGTCTGGATTATCCATTTAATCGTTAAATCGTGAAGGAAAGTTATGCAGTAAATCAGCTCATAATCCACTAAAGATCGCAGGCTAGCGAGGCTGTCTATAGTTGATCAACTAATTTAGATAACATATCAGGCCAAAGAAAGACCTGCAATAGGCAGATTTAGCTCTTGCATAATGTATGTTTAAATGAAACTATGGTCGAACCTCATAGCCTAAGAGATATAATACACCTACTGACATTTGGTAATTCGGTGTTTATAGTAAAGAGTATAAAAGCTGATCTCCGTTTTATTATATGTTTTTACTTGGTAATAATATATAGTTTACATATTTTATATTTATAAAAACATAAATAATATCTGGTAGTTATACAACTTCCGAAATAATTCTCAGGGAAATATGGCACCGAGATCTGGCAGTCTACCAACAGAAATATTACCATAACATAGAGGAACTGTATTCAGTATCAAGTATGACGTCAATCAGTGTTATCTATATAAAACTATCGTAAAGCTTTTAAATGTTCATAATTTATTTCACAGGAAATAATCTCCATTTATATATTTATATTAACAGCAACCAGCTTTAACAGTACATTATGTACGGTGGTTCAAAGGTATATTCATTATACGTTGGCAAATAATGGAATTTAACGTCCTGCTGTTCTGCACCAAGTGGGATGTTATGCAGTATGCAGTGCGGAACATTGTGCCCGGGCAGTCGAATTCCAACTGTCAAGGGTTCTTTCACGTGCACGCCAACGAGTAGGCCCCTGCAAGATTGGCCCTCGGTTTTATATGCCACCCGAACAACTAGACGTTTTCCTTGTTGGATCCTCCACCCTGCACCACTGACATGGGAAGACAAGGCTGGAAAATTCCGAGAAACATTCCGGGGTCGAATCCGGGACCTCCTGATTATATAGCGAAAGGTATCCAGGGTGTTACTTAAACCCTCAAATCAAAACGTGCCTTTATTTTGGCACCGTGTCTTTGCTCTATTCTTACATACACCATATGGTTGAAATATAGACTGTACATCACGTGTTATCTTTGTGACATTATACCTATAAGTATTAAACAAAGTTTAATTTGATTCTTATATTTTATCTCACTGACATTACATGTACAGAGATAACAAGAAAACAATATGGATTTTGTTACATAGATAAGACAGAGAACGATGCAGATACTTCTATGTCTTCCGTACCAGAAATATTCAATTATAAAAATTTCGAAGATTTTCTATAATCACCGATCTCGTTACCTAGGAAGTGTCTCTTTTCAAGAAAATTACGCATTTAAAGTGAACACATTGAACTTGTTATCGGTAATCCAAACGTTAAATTTAAAAAATAACAACCCAATAAACATGTTCGTCTAGAATAACCCAGTGGTTTCCCGCGAGATTCGTCCAGTTTCGGTGCTGGACAGCTGATGCCAGTCACAACCGAAAATTATCCCCCGCACAGAGAGAGAGAGAGAGAGAGAGAGAGAGAGAGTTTAACGTCCTTTCGACGCAACCTAACATATCGTTCAATTTTATGTCAATAATACGCTTGCGCGTAGGGTTCTTTAGCAGTGGGAGTAAACAGAAGGACCCGGAGAAAAATCCACGAGGTTAGAAGACGACCCTACTCATTGTCACGCACAAGCGGAAAATCAAAATCACACCACTTGACTTAATGACAGATCTTATGATGCAACGCGCACGCGTTAACCATTCGGCTACCGCCAGAGAAAGACAAGAGAAGAGAAGAGAAAACGAACGGCTATTAGACCTCGTATGGTGCACCATACCCGACTTTCATCATTTTTTTCACAAACACCATTCCGTGTTATAGTAATATTATATACTTGTATACAGATCTGATAACAGACTGTGTAATTCTATAATCTAACTCCATTTCTGTTTCGTTCTAAATATCAATATAATCACACCAAGATAATATATTGTTATAAAATATCAAATTACTCTCTAAATAATACGTTATGTAACTTAATTTAAATATAGGAATTGACATTTGAAATCAATAAAAGCCATTTGAAAAAAATACACCCCTGACATTACATGTACAGAGATAACAAGAAAACAATATGGATTTTGTTACATAGATAAGACAGAGAACGATGCAGATACTTCTATGTCTTCCGTACCAGAAATATTCAATTATAAAAATTTCGAAGATTTTCTATAATCACCGATCTCGTTACCTAGGAAGTGTCTCTTTTCAAGAAAATTACGCATTTAAAGTGAACACATTGAACTTGTTATCGGTAATCCAAACGTTAAATTTAAAAAATAACAACCCAATAAACATGTTCGTCTAGAATAACCCAGTGGTTTCCCGCGAGATTCGTCCAGTTTCGGTGCTGGACAGCTGATGCCAGTCACAACCGAAAATTATCCCCCGCACAGAGAGAGAGAGAGAGAGAGAGAGAGAGTTTAACGTCCTTTCGACGCAACCTAACATATCGTTCAATTTTATGTCAATAATACGCTTGCGCGTAGGGTTCTTTAGCAGTGGGAGTAAACAGAAGGACCCGGAGAAAAATCCACGAGGTTAGAAGACGACCCTACTCATTGTCACGCACAAGCGGAAAATCAAAATCACACCACTTGACTTAATGACAGATCTTATGATGCAACGCGCACGCGTTAACCATTCGGCTACCGCCAGAGAAAGACAAGAGAAGAGAAGAGAAAACGAACGGCTATTAGACCTCGTATGGTGCACCATACCCGACTTTCATCATTTTTTTCACAAACACCATTCCGTGTTATAGTAATATTATATACTTGTATACAGATCTGATAACAGACTGTGTAATTCTATAATCTAACTCCATTTCTGTTTCGTTCTAAATATCAATATAATCACACCAAGATAATATATTGTTATAAAATATCAAATTACTCTCTAAATAATACGTTATGTAACTTAATTTAAATATAGGAATTGACATTTGAAATCAATAAAAGCCATTTGAAAAAAATACACCCCAAATTAATAAACCCAAGAAACCCCTGGGGAAATATAATTTTGACGTTTTTCCAAGATGGAATATTTTCTTGTACGCAGATCTGACGTCAAGATGTGTGTCGAAGGTTTGAAAAGGCTTTTAGGGTTTTTTTTAAACTTTTAAATGTAGATCAACATGCATTGACGGTAATTTAATAATATCAAGATAACAAAAACTTGTTGATATAAAGTTGATGGAAAATGTGATGCACGTGTCTCTTAATCTGCTTTCAATATCACTCACTTCCGGTACTAGTATCTTAACCTATGACATTTACCGTCTAACTTTGGTAAAACCTTTCGCATATCAATCAGGTGTGAGATATAAAGCACATTGCAATCAATATCAGTAAAACAATACCTTTAACTGATAATACACACAGTTCTCATTAGTCTACTCAAAACGGGAAGTGCTATAAGGTGTTACATATAGGAGGACACTTTCGTCGTCTTTCGTACTTACAGCTATATACCGGTTAACGTAGCAACCAATAATTACTATGTCACTTTTATGTAATAAGGGCTATGATAAAAAAAAAGACATCCCTAACCCCTGACCATTTTTTACCTGTGTCAGTGCAACCCTAACCCTTTTTTAACTGTGGAATTAGTATCGCGCACCATAACAAACATGGTGAATCATAATAAACATATCGTGGGCAATGTTTATTTCTGTCAGTAGAGTGGCTGTTACCGGACATGCAAAATGACTTTATATTTAGTCAGTATGACATACATACTATATGGTATATGTGACGTAAATGGTAAACAATAAAACACATGTTACTATGGGTATGGTAACTTACTTCGCCTCTCTATAGGCTAATAATATCCAGATTAAAAATAACATTAATGTTTTAAACCTTTGGGTCGTTTCTACTTTGCGTGACACGTAAAACAAGATTTGGTGAAGAATATTAGAGAAAATGTCGCAAAAACTCTCCTCCCTAGCACGGAAATGAAATATCTCCAATGTTAATTATGCCAATTATCAGTGGTCTCACTAATCCTTCGTATGCACCTTGCCTTTGATCATGTTGTTTTCATGCCTTTGATCTTGTTGTTGTCATGCATGGTTTATGATTTGTTGTTATTGCTTGTCTATACATAATTGCCCTACAAATATGTTACTGTACATGCTTGAAAATGTTGAGAGAATACTCTTCGAAACGTCGCCTAAATAAATCAGTAATTGATCTTCCATAAGTATGTGTTATAGTTTATTGCTCTATCCAGTTACTAAATGCTTCTAAAAGATCGAAATTTAAAGATGTTGGACATATTACTTTTCTGCACTAACAGGCAAATGAAGACGGCCATGCGCCATGCACTGTTACATGGAGGAACTTTTGCTGCCAATGGTAGGCTATACACATGATCTCGGTTTTTGTACGATCCGAATGACTAGACACTATTTCTTTCCCAAGTTCTCCATCCTGCACCACTGAAAAGATTATACACCGGGCTCGAACCCGTTTAGTGAGCTGACGCCTTACTCACCGAGTCACTGTGGCTCACCTGTAAAATAGGGGCCTACTGATGAGAAGTCCTTTCTTATTTTTTTTAATATTAATGATTTGTTTTGCTTATATACATTGTATAGTGTATCCCTTTTAAATAAATATATCAAAATGGTTTCATCTATTATTCATAAATGTTCTATAGTGATTTTTAAAAAAGATTATTGATTGACTGGTATACGATATACCTACTACTGTTATACTAACTCTGCCAGGAATAATCATAACTGAGCATGCCTGGAACCGTTAGCATGAATAAGAATATATGTATCTAAACGTCTGAATATCAATAACAACCACATTTATACAGATTAATTAAAGATCTTTCAACGATTCCAGATAAAAAAAAAGATACAGAAAACTGAATTACAATACCTTAGGATATAGATAATCTTTCAATTCGTTTCCATTGTCTATTCGTTATATATATATTTATTTACACGCGCCTAAGCGAACCATCAAAAACTATCTGGTACCGTTCCAACAAAACACTCTACATATAAATAGCTAGTATCATGTCTCGTGCAGTATTCAACTTGAAGGTCGAATTATTTTCACTCACTCAAGCGCGCGCACTCTCTCTCCCCGCTTCTTCATCTCGATTAATATACTCCGCGGAGATATACATTGGCCTGTGCTTCGTACATAAATTGATAAATATACATACGCCCTTTGACCCTTGAATGCTTTCTAATGGTTGATGAGTAATGAATGATAGCGAGTGTTTAACGCCTCTGCCATGCTCGTTTGGTGTAATTAACTAATTGACAATGTCGTTTAGATTATGTTAAATCAATAATCCGCGTCTTGTATTCAACTAATCATTAACCAATCCATCCACGTATTTCAACAAATCCAACCGGCGCCACAGAAAAAACTAGCTTTATTATAACCGATTAAGTGTATAAATTTAGATGTATGACGGTCTAAACAGTGGAACATTTTCAGCATTTTGACATTAGATAAAATATCCATAAATAATAGCAGCAAACACGCATAATAAACCTAAACTTGAAGGTTTTAAAGCGGGTGATTTTTTGTGTAATAAAACTGATTTAATAAAATTTATATATCATCCTGTTAAGACACTGTTGGTGATATCTTTCAATTGGTCATATTATGATGCATGATCACATTTATCATGTACTTGAAATATACAATCTTGACGTACAGAGGACGTATATATGGTACAACTATATGGAAAGGAAACGGAATGGAGTTTAATATCCTGCTGTTCTGCTCTGACTGGGCTAATGAAGACGGGCATACGCCATACAGTATGCTATGAGGGAAATTTTGCGCTAAGGCCTACTCTTATATCAATTTCCGCTGCCAAGGGATCTCTTACGTGCACACCAATGTGTACATGGGATCGTGGTTTTTCGGCCTATGCGAACGACTAGACAGCTGTCCTTGCCAAGCCCTATGCCATGTACCACTGACAAGGGAGAAACCACGCCGGAAAATCCCGACGAACTTTCTCGGCCAACACCAGGAGCGAACCCGCGACCTCCAATCTAGCGAGCCAGCGTCTTCCTCACTTAGCCATTGTGAAATAAAATGGGGTTGGACTTTCTACTTTTCCTGCTAACAATAACGGGGGCAGGGGGTGGGGTGGTTGGACAAGAAATGAAAATGAAATGGGTTTAACGTCCTACTGTTCTGCTCCGGACTGGGATAATGAAGACGGGCATATGCCATACAGTGTGCTATGAGAGAAATTTTGCCTGAGAAGCGGCACTACGGCCTACTCTTATATCGAATTCAAACTGTCAAGGGATGGACCCATCCGAACGACTCGACCGCTGTCCTTTTCAGGCCCTCCGTCTTGCATCCCTGAAATATTTTATCTGCCAAAAGTGTGTGATAAAAAAGACAACACCTAACAATTTTATGTCTCAGCTAGGCGTATTATAAAACAATTGCCGATATATACAATACAATATACAACAACTTTAAAATTCTGTCTTTCCATAATAGATTAGCAAAGTTTGGATTTAATAAGATCAGACTTTAGTCTTTTTGATAACTGTACTGCACAATATATTTTCAGTATTTACACGTCAAATCTCATCTAAGGATTGCCAATTTTCTATACATTTATGTGTTGCGTGCACAATGGGCCTATTGTTATTTTCAGGTAGTGTGAATATATCAGAATCTGAATCCCTGATAGAATGATATAAATTTCAATTATATTTGTTAAGAGATGCTTACGCACTTGGCGACGGTAAATATGATACAGATGGCGAACTGATTTCTCGCTCAAGAATCGTCACTATTCAACTAGTGATGATATAATAATTAACTAATGATATCCGATAGGCATGCTGGTATTTTTTACATGACGTACTATATATGAAGCCACAATTATCAATCAACTAATCATTAATCCAACACAACTGATTAGTATTACTCAATGACGCGATGCGGATTATCGGCCATTGGCCGGTTGCTCAAAGCTCTGTTATCTTTTAACGATCCGTTAACATGGAGTTAACGGATCATTAACTTTAACGGAGAGAAAGGTTGTTGCTGGAAGCCCCGTTAACTTTAACGTGTAGTTAACTTGGCGTTATATTTAACGGAGGTGTTGGTCTCCGTTATCTTTTTAATGATGCCATTAGTTGGCTGTAGCAAAAAGTCATAGATTACATTGTACCTATGCAATTTTCTATAGAACATTCTAGGGGGTTCCATTTTGGTGGCCTGTAGGAAATAATGGCTCCATAATTCTGTAGTGCAAATCCCATAATTTTTCCTACAGATTTATGCCAAAATGTCTTTAATCAAGTTTTGTGAACAGACTGCACAGTTAGTTGTCTCACTGTCTTCAGTTTCTTGTTAATACTAACTTCTATGAAGTTGTTATACATGTACATTGAATTCAAAAATTAAAAAAATTCAGCCAATGAACAAACAGTATTCTCTTGGATTAACTTTAATGAATCCGTTAGCTAATGGATAATGAAATTGACTTTCCAGCAACAGAAATTTAACAGACTGTTAACAAACGACAAGTTACCAAGATTACGATCCGTTAAACTCTAACGGATCGTTAAAATAACTTAGTTTTGAGCAACCGGCCCCTGTTGATTAATTTATAGTATCCTGCCATGTGATTGACACTCAATAATGGTTGATCCAGGATAAATACGATTAGAATTTTAAGATTTTTTTTCCGCCAGTTCTAAAAAAGAACCGCCAGTACCGCAAAACATTATCGCCAAAATCAAATTTTAATCGCCACTTACATATTTTTATCGCAAATTGCGACTTTGGCGACCGACAGTGTGAGCCCCCAGTACAACTATACCACAACTAGTGTCCGATAAAAATAAAATTTGTACCCGTATGACGCGAACGTTAATTTTCAGTACCACAAATACGGTGTTCTACGGTCGTATATTATGCGTACGTTTTGCAGTACGATCGCACAGTACACACATCAAAAAGCGATTTGGGGAAAAGATAACTGAAATGTATAACGTGATTAAACTGTAAACGTTTAATTATGTATTAGATGACACCAACCCGGGGAAATTGTTTTTAGATTGAGATTAGCAGTCACGAATATAAGATAAAAAGAGTGTCAACAAACCTGTCATTAGTGAGTTAATGATTGTAACGGAGTGACTAGTCATAATATAGTCTCATATAATTACCTACTTATAAAACAAATTGATCCATATAGCAAACAAAATCACACCCCATCTTCAACAAATTTCTTCTCTACACATTCAGAATCAATGAAACTTTGAACTTGAAAAAAGAAAATAGACGCCAATTTGAAAATCGACGTTACTAATTCTAGGTTTTTTAAAAAAAATCTTTAATACTAAATTTGCTGGTGAAAAGTTTGATGTTTGAAATAAAATAATCAAAAGCAAAGACGTGGACATTGTGTTTTAATATGAAAATATTCGTATGTATTCCGTGGTCTAAACAGTATAATGCCCAGCCAAGGGTGGGGGGGGAGTACTTTATTACCACTAGTATTGTAACGTGAAAAAATTAATATCAAATGTTAGATTATCAGTGCCTTTTTAAATCTTATTTATTTCTGGCGTATGCCTGATTCAATTTAGAAAAAAGGAGTCAAGGTACTAAGAGGAGGGACATTGTCATCTTTTTATAACGAAATGGAAATGAAATGAACTGTGGGCTTAACGCTCCTACAGGTCTAATGAATACGGGCATACGCCATACAGTGTGCTATGGGGGAAATTTTGCCCGGGCAGCGGCGCTATCGAATTTCAACTGCCAAAGGATCTTTTACGCGCAAGCTAATGTGTACATGGGACCACGGTTGTTCGTGCCCTCCGTATCGCACCACTGACAAGGGGAAACCACGCCGGAACATCCCGATGAACTTTCTTGGCCAACATCGGTAGCGAACTCGCGACCTCTCGACTAACGAGCCAGCGTCTTACTCAATTAGCCACTGTGGTTCCTTTTTATAACGTTAACCACATTTTATTATATATTGTATAATAACGTACAGAAGGTCAACTTTTAAACATACATTATGCAAGAGCTAAATCTGCCTATTGCAGGTCTTTATTTAGGCCTGAAATGTTATCTAAATTATTAATTAGACATTAATTAACTTATCCAGATCATAATCAACTCTCGATGTCATGGCTATTTACTGGATAAAGATCCGATTTGCTGCTCAATTTTCATTCATGATTTAATCATGAAATGGATAATCGAGACTATGTTTTTATCGTACCGACTTTAGTAATGATGATCGAGGCTAGACTGAAAATTCAATCGCTAAATTCTCGGTTCAGAGTGGATCAATCTGACTTATAATTTTCATCAAATTCCCTTTGCATTATCTATAGTTTTTAACTATTATAATGAGAACTGCCAGCTCTTTATCTAATCTCCCATAATTTATCTTTAACAGTTTACGCAAATTAATTGATTAGTACCTCGTTAAGGCTTAATCTACTTATTTCTGGTGCATGTATGACTTAATTTAGAAAAATACTTTGGTGAAAAAAGTCAATTGAATTTCTGTGTCCAATGTGGCATTTCGACTGTATGAATATTGAACTGTTTAGTATTTAACTAAGATTAATCGTATGGCTTACATCGATTAATATTAATTTAGTCCTAGTTAGATCCGGCCAGATATAAAATTATAGAATAGGATCGATGAGAAAATGTTAATCATCATAGTTCTTCATAATAGGACATGCGTACAATGTTATCCCACGGGACGAAAGTCAATCTATTTTCATTCTTAATACCAATGTGCATCGGCGACTCGAAACAATAACCGTGGATGATTCATATGCCATGGCTTGCAAACTGTCTGGGAGGTTAACAGATACAGCAATCCCTGGCCACGCAATGGGTAAACTTGTCTATGGTCTTTGTTTACTCTTTGTTTTACCAAACTGCAATGAATACAGTCCTCATGTATATTACTAATATTTCGTTTCGTTTTATTTTTATTTCGTATTTTTAACGTTCCGTTTTAAGCCCTCAAATAAACTTTGTATTATCGTACTGTGTTTTTGAAAAGCAGATTAGGTACAG